CTTTCAGAAAGGTAAACAGTCTTTGGTGATAAAGGAATTTGAGCTCTCTAGCTTAATCTGCTAGATCTATTTTGTTTTACAGTCTTAACTTGTATCATTTAACTGCTAAGGAGTTTAATTCTTTGCCAGATTATGTGTTTCTTGAACGGTATAACCTAGGTGTATTCAAGGCTTGAGTGAATAGGTTACGAATGGCTAGGCCGCATCATCGCTTACGAGGGGAGAGAATTGGCAAACACTGAACCATTCCTAATGTAAAGAAATTGGTTGTGTAAAAGAATGTGTTTGTGATTTTCTTTCATTCTGTTGGTGTGATTCTGTTGGTATACAGACACATTGGTCTCTACAGTGTAATAATAATACACACGCCTTCTTTTCCTCCCTGCGAAAGAGGCGAGTTATCAACAACGTACAAAATCCAATTATCGACCTACTAAGGAGTAGACACATGGGAAATATAAACTAACCTCGATTCTTGGATCACATTATTTTGTTCCTCTTTTAATCTTGTTTCCATCAACAATATTGACTAATTTTTACCCCATATAAAGGAAGGTTATATCAAAATAACTAGCCTTAATACTAAATGGAAATAGGACTAGATATAATACAGTCAAAGCGTTTATTTCAATAATAACTATCGTGAGACATATTAAATTAACTAAAAATCGCAGGTTACTCTCGTGAATATACTGAGAAAAGCTCTACTAGTTTCGAACCACAGAGGGGTTCTTCCTCACGAGCAGTGTGCGCGGTCGCGGCGATGGCGCACTTATTTCAATAAATCCACATAAAGGCCCTTCTGGATATCTAAAAACATCTATTTGTCTATCAGTCTGTCCGTCAGTGAAGCTAGGTGTTCATGCCTTATTCCAAGGTGTAGATTTGTATGGAGAGTAACGAGCAAGAAACTCTATTGTTACTCCTTTTCCGGTTATTTTTTGGATTTTTCTAATTTGTTTGTCTGTTTGTAAATCATTACATGTGTCGAACAGTAGCAGTAACATTATCGTCGGCATACCGGACGATTATGATAAACGGATGGTCATACATTATCAGCTGCCGGCTCTTATCCTACACGTTCGTTTAAATATACACCTAGTCTGAGAGATAGAGTGTTTTTGTTTTATAGTTTTCTGGTGTTTAAATATTAATAAAATTGTTAGTCCTTTTTTAGGTTTAGTTTGATTATACTTTTGTATCCCAAAGTATGTCAAAATGCAGTGAGCTTTTGAAGGAAAAGATTAGGGATTGTAAGACTTTACGTCATTAAAACCATATGCTACGTGGTGGTCATCATCAGCACCAACAAAAGGACACCGAATACTCTAAAGTAGACTTTATCTAAACACTAGAAGTCATATAACCCGATGACCAGCTAAAATTTTCAAAAGTTACTCCCAATTAATAGACATCAAAACTTTTCCCATAAATATTCTACCTTGAACCCCCTGCCTCGCCTAGTGTGGAAGAAGCCAAGTTTCCTAGGATTCCCATTAGCCGTACGAACGTGCGAGGACACTTCATAATTATAGGAATTTCACAGCAATCCACCTGATGGCATTTTGCTCCGTCCCGGCGGAAAATTCCGGTCGGGACGCGCCATTTAATTAATTTTTAAAGTATGTAATAGCGAAAATAACTGCTTGCTGAAATTATTTGTAGACTTGACATAGTTAAAGTATTAGATCGTTGTGTAGTCAAAATAGAATTGACTTGATTAATTGATAATGATTTTCATTTTTAAATTAATAGATACGCCTTTTGCTAAACCTGTTGGTATTTTTATATTGACACAATTTTAAAGACTCTTGAAGTCATGTGCTACTGTTGAATAATCTAATGTTGAACTGAATAATTAAAAAGGTTTCATTGCACCATCGGTTTATTATGCACGGCCATCCTATCCCAAGAGAATCAACTGGTTTGTTCATAGAAAACTTTCTCTATATCTATAAAGACTTCATTATCAATATCCATAATTTTTGTTAAACATGCTTCCTTGTGCGTACTGCTAAGAAGTGGCATTCTTTGCCAGAGTATGCCTGTATTTCCTGAAGCGTATAACCTGGGTGTCTTCAAGGCCCGAGTGAATAGGTTGCTTATGTGACGACGTGCTCCATCGTAGACTGTATCATCGCTTACCAGCAGGCGAGGTAGTAATCAAACGTCAGCCAATCAAAAATAAGGAAGTTTGCTTTTGTTAATGATAGTATTTCCTAACAAAAATATCCTTTTCGTGTTGAAATCACACATCAAACCCTTTATGTTAATGAAGACACATGTTAACCTAACCACAAAATGAACCCAAAACCCTTTCTAAATCTTAATTCAAACAATTCCCGACAATCTATTCCCAAATACCTATTACCTTAAACATCCACCATTAACCTTCGACCCCAATTCTGGTTCAATCTATTCTGACACATTCTGATTCTGGTCACGTCTCTAGGAATGTGTTTCAGAGTGTTTCAGAGACTTGTATTGGCCGCACTGAATCACAATCGTGGCGTTTATTACCTGATGGTGAACTGACCTGATTTATTTATGGAGGTGTTATGGAGAGTGTGGACAGAAGTTGTTCGTTTTTATTGTTGTTTCTTTGCTTTATTTGGAAGGTGTTTTATTAATTTATTCTTTTGGGGGTTTTAACAATTGTATAAAAGTTATTTAAGGTTTCTAAAATAAACGTTGCCCTACACTAGGATTTTCTCCTGTGTCGTGGGTGCATTTACAAACATACAAATTCACATACACATGACATCTAGACCAGGAACAATAATTTGTGGATCACATAAAGTGTTGTTCCGTGCGGGAATCGAACCCGCGACACGTTGCACGGCAGCCGGTTGCCCAGCCGCCGCACCAACCGTGCAGTCGCAGGTTTATTAGGATCTCTTACGTACTCTAGTTAAATTATAGTGACTGATTTATCATCAATTTGAATAATATGTTTTTTAACTAGGCTTAATAATAACAAACCTGAAGTTAGTCATGTTAGCACTAGTATATTATTTGTGGTGGTACTCTAATTTGTGATAATTTTTCACTCGCCATTATAATAGTAATGTTCTTGTAGTCACAGGCTTGATACAAAAATTCCCAGTAATAACACGAAGTCTATAATAATTGTGCTTATTGCTAAATAGTTCACCTTTATTACATAAAACGCTTAACATAATTGGCGAAAACTAACATTACATTCACTGTATGAACCTATTTTTATCCGTTTGGAAATAAACGACATGAGGAATAAACGACTATTACAAACTAATTATAATTGTAATCTTCTGTCATACAATTGTATTAATTTCTCTAATCTGCAATATTGTCCCCAAAATCTTCTTCAATAATGATTTCTTAATAAATGATATTAAAACACCTTCGTCTAATTATTCAAAAAAGATCTTCTACACTGCCTCGTCGACCACTCGGGTCGCAAGTGCGACTGCCAGGCAAGAGGTCTCAAGTTCGATTCCCGGGTTAGGCAAAGTATTACTAGGTTTTTAAAAAATGTCTCAGTAGTAACACGAAGTTTTACTACTGAGACATTTAGTGAGTAAGCTCACCCACTATTACATGGGACTCATAACATAAATAGTAAAAAGTGAGTGTTACATTGTACAGTGCCATTAAGTGTCGTAATGTGCTCCGCTGCCTAAACCTTCGGGGATAAAAGGTGTGATTTTATGTTATATCTTCTACAATTCTTTATATTAATTGTACCATAAAGTAATTAATATCCATCTATGAAAGACGCCATGATTTCTCAAACGTGTAAAGGCGCGGTACAGAATTAGCATTGTTTTATTGCTTCCCGTCCGATGTTTGTTCATACGGACTTAATTGGGTATTTATCGGAGAACCTAACGAGTAACCGGGGCTCCGACTCGACGTGCAGGAGAAGGAACGGGGTGGTTTTTAGTCAGTAAGAGTCTGACACTCCCTCCCGCCTCACCCAGGCGGGAGCAGTCATTAGATGATTTTCGCCCCTTAAAAAAAAAAATGGGTATTTATTGATATTTGGTACATATGACCTGTATCATAAGCTAGGTTTGGAAAATATGTAATAGACGTTTTGTTCTATGAATGGCTAGATAGAAGAGTGCATATTGAATGTGATGAAACCCACTTTTCATTATGTTATGAGTTCTATCTAATAGATGAGTATACTTCCATACACCAGACATGATTCTAAGTTCAGTACTTAGCTATACTTTGAATTTTTTAAACTTAGAAAAACGCACCATTTACTTTGCCTCACTTAAATCGACCTCGATACCCCTTACTTTTTATATTTCATTGTTATAGGATGACGTTTGGCCACCAAACTCGCCTGGAAAGGGAAAGAAAATATCCTTTAGAAACTTTCCTACACTTTGATCTATGAAAACGATGTTTTAACAGAGAAACGCTTGAATTTAAAACGTATTTTATTGATATCACAAACTCCTACAGGTTATAGTTTATTTGATCGATGGCGCAAATAAAATGCGAAGCCAAAATCCACAATGCGAATACGTATATCGATATTGGGAAACGACGTCATTCGATAAAACAGTTTTTTCGCTAAAAAGCTGGTTAGTGGTCTGTCAATCATTATAATAGGGAAATGTTTTGCGAATTTCTGTTGAGAGGGATATTCAGTTCTTTTGTTAAACAATAAAGCGTGTTGCATTTTTTAACGATCACGGAAAAGTTATGGTTTATTCAGCCAAACAGTATGTCAAGTGATACTGAACTTTATTGCTGATCGTTAAGGTTGTAAATCTACTATAGAATCTTGGTACGTAAGAAACTATTCTCAATGTCTATCAAAATTCTTTAAACAATTTTCCATTCTATGGCAAAAGTGTAAAGTTGACAATCGTAGGCAATTGTCTTTCCACTAATAGTGTATGTTCTTTTAAAATGGAATACTCTTGTCGCAATGTTGATACGATTACTATATGATGATTTATACGATTACTTGTAACTAAATTATAATATTTGTTCCACAGTGACCTGGAGCCAGGCGCGGCTACCGCCCCCTCCGGCAGCTCCAGCAGCTCCAGCCTCTCCTCCAGGAGTAATGAGAGCAACACCGTCGCTGCTGAGCAGCAAGGTGAGTCACAGCTACAATTTAGCTACATTCACCTCTTGTCCTCATACGATAAATTAATTATGGATCCCATTCTAACATTTTTCAATTAACTCGTCGAGTACCGGTTTTATAGACACAATTAAAGAACAATAGGTCGCGGTCACTGGTGACCGCTTGGTGTTTGACAGTTTAAGATTGATTTTTGATATTACTTGCATTAATTTTCCCGGCCAAATCTTAGATCGATCCAGATATTCGCCTCACTCCGGCGGGAGAAGTCATTCGATGATTTTCCCCCTTAAAAAAAGTAACGAACTAGATTTGTTAGATATTTTACTTTTAAATTTGTTGAGTTTGTTGTTTTCCCTTTTCACATGCTTATTCTCTTTCTCTCTTACACACAATTTTTAATCTGTTATTGTTTCTCTCTGTCCCTCACTGTATGTTTTTTAATCTATCGATCTCCCTTTCTCTCCTTTTCAACGATAAAAAAACTAGGGCTCAAATAAACCAGTGAAATGAACAATGTTTGTATTTCATTCCAGCATCTCAATCCGACTGGTCGGAGGAAGAGGAGCCGCTGGCGGCGCAGTGGGCGGACAGCCTGCCGCCGCACGTACTGGACGGACTCGAACTGTCCGCCGCGCTCCGGAAGAGGCAGGAGGTCATACATGGTGAGTGTACTTCCACGTCTAAACCTTTGATAAATCTTGACAGAGTTTGCATCACTAAAAGTGAATGATAGATCATGATAATGGAATTATGTCCGAAGTCCAAGAAGTTCTATACAGATAAGTTTTGTCTCAATGATTAAGTGACTTCGATGATCGACAGCTGTGTAATGTGTCGTGACTTCTTTTCCCTTACAGAAGTATTTTGTTTGAGATTTAATTTTGTGCAGTTATGAAGAAAATGTTAGTATAGAACAACATTTTATGAACCAAAAAGAAACTAAATAAAGTTCTGGTAAACGTTAAGTTAATAAATAATTTAAACATCAACTTATTTTGTAACAAATTTCAAAGAATTTTCCCAAATTTATTCCATCAACCCGCCACTATAATCAGTAAATGTGTCCCCCCAGAGCTGATCGTGTCGGAGGGCTCCCACGTGCGCTGGCTCCGCGTGCTGGGCGGCGTGTTCCTGCGTCCGCTGGAGCGGCACGCGGCGCTGCTGGCGGCCGACGAGCTGCGCGCCTTGTTCCCCAACCTGCCCGCCGTCAGGGAGCGACACTCGCGCCTCTACACCGACCTGCGCACCGCGCGGAACGACGCGGGGAACCATGTTGTACAGATTAGACCCGTGGCTGATGCACTATTGAATACGGTAACTTCAAACTTGTGTATATTTTAACGCTGGCATTAGGGGGCATACGTTACTTTGCAATCGAGCTTATTCTACCTAACACTACTTTGGGCTTCGCGATATTACCACGATACATAATATTAATTTACTTTACTTGTTATCGGACCCTGAGATGTTTTGCTCTACTATCAGACTCGGAATAATTGAAACCCACGGTAATTTAAACTCATTTTAAATGCTAGTTTTCAATGTTAGACAACACAATTTTCGTTTAAATTTTCATTCCTTTAGTAACACGAGCATATGAGGTACTCGTGTTACATCTACAACAATACACTTAATCAATTTCAATGTGAACCACCTTCCCCCCAGTTGGGAGACTCTGGGTACGCGCAGTGCGTGTCGAAGTTCTGCCGCGGGCAGCGCATGGCGCTGGACGCGCTCCGCGAGCGGCGCCGCAAGAGCAAGGAGCTGCACCAGTTCCTCGCCGCCAGGGAACAACAACCACTCTGCGGCAGGCTGCAGCTCAAGGACATGCTGGCCTGTGTCTGGCAGAGGTACCACTACTACTGCTTTAAGGATTTTTATTAACCGACTTCAAAAAATAAGGCAGCTGAAGTTGGTTTATTGGAACCCAGTTTATACGTACATTTTTGAATAAGGAAGGAAATGACTAAGCGTATGATCCAGTTTATACGTACATTTTTGAATAAGGAAGGAAATGACTAAGCGTATGATCTGATGGTAAGCAATCAGGGACGTCTAGGGACATCGGAAACACCAGAGGAGTTTTTTGATTTGAGTCTCCAGTAACCTCGCTTATAAGGCGAAACACAACACTATGTGTTGTTTTACGTCGGTTTTACGTCAGTGAGACCGTGATTTAGTCAAGCCAAAACATAGCTTTTCCACATGAATCTGACTGAAAGGGTTTTTAAAGACCCTTGAGTCTAAGATTGTTAGTTTATTATCACTTGCACATGACTGACTCTTATGTAAATACATGTTATGTCTTCTCCCCAGATTGACGAAATACCAGCTCCTACTGGAAGGTATCCTGAAGACAGTGGTGGAAGGTGAGGAGACGGAGGAGGACTTGGCGAGGTTGCGGCGAGCTCACGATGTCGCCAAGGATGTGTTACACAGGGTCGATACTGCCATCAGAACTGCTGAGAATGAACACAGGTAACTAATGATTATAGTGATGGCTTCAGAGTTAAAAATACAGTGGAAGTTACTTAATATTTTCAAAGTGTTAGGGGTGATCATTTATTTAAAGTGTTTTTGTATTTACTTACTACCGATTTGTTATTAATATTGTGTAAATGAAGCCATTATATTAGCTCTTTATCAAATTTTGTACTCGTATAAAACTTTCATTTCTGCACTTTCCATAAAATTTTAATAGTGCACCCCTAAACTTTTTAAAGCATCTTCACGCTTAACGTCAGCTTTGAATTTGTGTTTTACTATTAATCTGAAGCTAAATACATGTATATTTTTCCCAGACTGCGCACAATCCAGAGTAAGTTAGAGATTCGAGTCCCGAGTGCGAGTGAGTGGGACGAGCTCCGTCGCCTGGACCTCACTCAACATCGACTCACTACTGAGGGAGACCTCACGCTCAGGAACGACTCCTCCAAGAGGATTAATGTACTTGTACGTATAACAATATAATAACAACTACTTTAAACTCATTCACACTCACACTACCGTATCATTCTCACTCACAAGTTAAAAAATTTAAATCATATTACACTATCATATCACAATTGTCAGTCAAACAGCATTTACTGATACACTTTCCACAACATTGCACTCATGTATACTTAATATCACCCACTAATCACTACACAATCATTCCTACGCTCACAGAAAGACTATTCGACTCATACTCAACCTCACTCATTTATATTCTTTCACTCGTACTCTACAACACTCAACCTCACTCACACTGAACTTCACTAACGCACTATATGTATGCAGGCGCTGATGCTAGAAGACAGCCTGGTCCTGCTGCAGCGCGAGAGTGACAAGTTCGTGTTGAAGCCGATCCCGCTGCCCAGCCAGTCACTCATGCTGTCGCCACTTATCAAGTGGTCAGTATTATATAACTTGTATTATGTTCTCTCTTGTCAATATTCGTTTGTATTGTCGAGTTTAGAAGTCTGACTGATATTTTAAAAGGGAATAAATAAATATATTACTATGAATCAGTTTTTTAAATAGAATCACTTTAGTTTAAGATGTAACTTTTAGGTTTACTGTTCAGTTAATAGCAGCATAGGAGTTGCTTTGCCCTCTAAAGTCTTTTAAATTTGTAAATTGTACACTTGTACAGTGCAGTTAAGTGAGAAAGTGAATTCAATAGATTATGCCCACAAACTGACATCGAAGATAAAAAACATTATGTTATTCTTAAATATCACCTTTAAAATTGTCAATCTAACAATGAACCTTATACCCACAGGGACAAGGTACTGTTTCGTCCTAACGCTGCGGTGCGCAATACATTCTTCCTCATGAACATCAACGGAGTACAGATGCACGAGCTGTCTGCCAACTCCGCGCCGGAGTACGCCTCGTGAGTAACTCTACTTGTATTTCAATTATATTGACATATGTCATATAAAATCTATCTTAGTGAAACATGAAGAGTGTCTTAACTAAAAATCGCGAGTTACTAACGTGAATATACAAAAAAAAGCTTTACTAGTTTCGAACCACGGAGGGGTTCTTCCTCCTGAGTAACCCGCATTTTTGAGTTGATTTAGTATGTCTCACGATGGTTATTATAGAAATATATATAAATCTTTATCGAGATGTTGAATCCCTTAACACCGTTCAGGAATTGACCCGTAATAAGGTTTATCTCTGTTTACCTTTTTAGTGAAAATAAATCTTGCGAATGCTAGACGATTATTCATGTTAAACTTAAAGATGTAGTATAAAATGTGTTACGGATGTGCAGTAAAATCCTTAAGAGATTCTTAATTGATCGTGGAAATAATACAGAGGATTAAAGATAATGTGTCTCGTTCTAGTTGGGTGAAGCACATCCAGGAAGCCCCGCTGGCCAAGCTGACCGAGCTGAAGGCCACCATACCCACGCAACATGCTCACTCGCGCTCTGCTGACGACTCCGGTACGTCTCTATACACATACATAGCACTGATTTGTAATTACTTAGTTACCTCACTATTTACACTCACATACTTAGGCTTAGTGACACTCATTACTCAGTTACACTCATGTCATTCACTTCACTAACAACACCTCTACAACTATCTTATGATAGTCAATTAGTATCTTAGGGGTTTTGTAACAACCCTACCCCTTCGGGGATAAAAGGCGTGATGGCGTGTTAAAACACTCATCACTCTACTATACTCATCAGTAAATACCAGTATAATGAACAAAGCAACAATTTAAATTAATTTAATAGATTGTCAACTTTATTACTTCATTTTAAAGCACAACATTCCAATAATAGTACATCAGTACGCCACGTATTTTAGAAGTACTTCTCAACTTTTAATTATTTTAGTAATACATTTTATTCTCTTCTATTCAGGAATAAACGTATCCCGCAACCCATCGGACGCTTCCGAGAAATCATCATCGACGGCTCCCGGAGACGAACCGGTCGAACCGGAGAAGGACCGGACCTCGGTAGAGAGGACATCCGCCGAACGAGAGGACAAGAGGACTGACGACGACAAGAGGAGCACTGACGTGGAGGACAGGTCCTCTACTGATAAGGAGGCTGAGGTCACTGAAAAGGAGGACAAGCATAAGTGAGTGGGAATTATATTCTTATTTGTTCATTATTTATGATTAACAATATAAGTGTTATTACTTACTTTGATAGAAATTTCATAACAATTTATAATGCACTCGTCGCGAGTTTGATCTTCTGCAAATGTCTCGTGTATGGCTATTTTAAATCTATGAAATTTAAATCTATGAATGAAATGGAATGTAAAATATTTTAAAATTTTTTCATGTGCTTTCCCAAAGAGTAATTTTTATCAATATTGTTTCAATAGTTTATAGTTTTGACAGCTACCGAAAATCTTAAGAGCGTTAACGTTTCGCGCAGTTTGTCGAGTTTAGGTTTTTTAATAGAATTTTTACACAACAGGGTATCAATAACCGTTTCTAATAGCGTGACAGTCGGACGATTGAGTGACTAGAATGAGAACTTTGATCCATTCAGGTGTAACTATAATCTATATATATATAGACACGAGCAAACCCGGCGAGTTCGCCGGGTTTGCTAGTTAAACGGAGTTCCGTTTCGCCACCCAGATGGCTTCGTTTAATGTAACATTTCGTTTGGTGATTAAAGCTGAAGAAAATATTTTTTTCCTGAATTGTCTTCGCTATAAACCTCACGGAGCCCAAGACCTTTCCAACGAATGCAATACCGTGGAAATCGGTTCGTGCGTTCTGGAGTTATACCGTCAGGAAGGAAAACCCGACTTATTTTTATATAGCAGATTTCCCCGCATGCATGTGAATCGGCCATTGCGTGGGTATTTGGGCAAATAATAAGATAAAACACCGAGTCACAATGTAATGTCTTTTTAATCACTAATCTAACTAACTTTGTGAAAAAATATAAGATCGCGCGGAACTATGACGGTTAGTCGAAGATGTCTCGCGTACGCCGTTCATAACCGTAGTGCGGTTCAAAAACATGGCGGCGCTGTTATCGACATGACGCTCCGTCAGAATGAAATCTGTGGCTAGATGTCATCCTAGTCCACGCTCGTCCAGCCTGTCATCCAATAAACTTAGCTAACACAGACCTTATTTACTAGCTATTCTAATTTACCTGCCTCTTTGGCCGAGTGGTCGTAAGTGCAAAGGGTCTCGGATTCGATTTCCGGGTCGGGCAAAGTATTACTGGGTTTTTAAATATTCTCAGTAGTAGCACGGAGTCTGGAATTGTGCCCGGTATATGGCAATAGGCTCACCCCCTATTACATGGGACTCATAACATAAATAGTGAAAAGTGGGTGTTACATTGTACAGCGGTATAATGTGCATCTCTGCCTACCCTTTCGGGGATAAAAGGCGTGATGTTATGTTATGTTATATCTAATTTAGCCTAGTTATACTTTCGTAAATTTATAATTACAACCTCGGTAGCACTGTACAGTCATCGAAACTGGTCCCGTCGTCCAAACATGGACCGGACGACACCTTTGATTCAAGTCATCACATGCAGCTGTAAACTAGTATGTCCCTTCGACCGAATGTAAGACAGATATTGTATTTCTTGATAATAAATAATTTTGAATTTTTGAATAGCCCGGACGACACTGTCCTTTCGACCAGTTTAATTCCACAATTCATTAGCCTGGACCAGATAAATGTATCCTTTCGATTAGCACTTTGTCCTTTCGATCAGCTTCAAACACATTCGATTTACTCCATTGTTAAGTTAAATCAGCAAACAATCTTTAACATGTAACATACCAACATATAATCAAGCAACTAGATTAAACAACAGTTAAAGCCACAAAAGTCTCACATACCCATAAGTTATGGACTGTCCTGCTCAGCGGGAATTTGAACTACTTGTTCAATAGTATCATAGTCGGAATTGACAGGTACGAGTGTCGGATGCCGCTGTAACTGTATCAGACGTTACTGAAATGGTATCAGACCCTGCAGTCAATGTTTCACAGCTACTGAGTCGGGCAGGGGAATCATCATCAAGTTCTACGTCAATTGGTGCCGTCTCGGCCTCCTCTTCATTTAATGGGGTGGTAGTTATCTCGATCAAACCATCATGACCCTCGGGTACGTGACGCAAGATCTCGTGCGCATATTTAAAACTACGACGTGAACCAGATAGGCTTTTCAATTCGTAAAGATCGTTATCCAAGACTGACGTACGAGTGATGGGGAGACTCAACTTCGGTTGTCAGTCGGCTAAAGTATTCCACAACATGGGGAAGGTCATCTTTTTTTTTGAAAGGATAGCTCCATATTCTTCAGAGCTAGCGTCACAATGTAACTCGACAGGCAACTCTGGTTCTAATATTGTCAGAACGGGTTTTCTCATGCTTCTTAGTCCACTGAATAGGACCCTTCTGTTTCGTTAAGGAATACAATGGACAAACAGTATTAGTATACCCCAGGATGAACCACGTCCGTGTCAGTGTCCGCGTCAGTGTCCGCGTCTGAATCATCTGGATTCAACTGTACAAGCTTCACGCAGTTCGATTGTGCGCCAGTATCTGCTATCTGTGCCGGTGACGTCGCCAATACTCGCGTCTGTAAAGCTTCCATAGTACTCAACAGTTTTAACGCACTATTTTCATCTTTTAGTTGATTCGCTTACGATCGCGTCCGATTACGATGAAATTAGGGAATTCCGGATTCCCTAAAGTTATTGGTAATTAACATGTTTGTAAGATAAGGAGTTTGTCGTTAAAACGCGTTTGAAGTGCTGTTTTAGCAAAATCGCGCTCGGACGGCGTTAACGCTCTTAAGGGCAAAGTTTTTGCAAGCGTGACTTATTATGTCATCTCCCATCGTGTATAGCGTGTGGTTGAAGAGAGTTTCGAGAAAGATTCGAAAGTATGAAGGATTGTGGAAGCAGCCATTGTATGATTTTTAAAGTTTATGAATGTCGTCGCAGACCCCGGCGGCCGACAGTGGGCCGCATCAGTACGCAGGCGGCCGGCGCGGGGCTGGAGGCGCCCGCCGCCGTCACCGTACGCGCGCCCGCCGCGCACACCGCGCAGCGCGTCTACACGCACGCAGGTAACTATACCACCATCATCGACATGTCACCAGCACCCGGAGAAGGTTTGAGCATTAATCGCCACGCCTGCTCATGGGCGATTTCATTTAAGTTATTAATTAGGATTATAAGTTGAGGTTTCCACACGATATCCGAAGTTGCGGACGGTATACCAGGTGACCGGGGCTCCGGCTCGAAGCTAAAGCAGGAACGTGGTGGTTTTTAGTCAGTAAGAGTCTGCTGACACTCTCTCTTCCTTACACGAAGCGGGTGATGTTATTGGGTGATTCCCCCCTCGAAAAACCTGCTTACTTTAGAATCTATTAGATCTGGTTAAGTCAAAAATTTCGTTAAATGTCATTTACTTATTATTATGTCAGCTTTAGGGTTTCAAATTTAGGTCTAAGTTGGTGAATATGGATATCCAGATTGAATACATGTGCTTTAGTTGTTGATTCTAACTTATTTACGTCACAAACTTTAACAAAATAATTTCCTTCCTTAGAGCGTCTACGCCGCCTCGACTCAGTCATTGCTAAGGCATTGCGTGCGAAATCATCAATAGTGGGTTCAGTTCTCGGCGTGCCACCGCAGAATTATGCGCAGTTCGCTGACCTCGCCGTCGCTGACGCATTGGGAGAAGTTGGTAAGTGAATAATGATAGTCATTTGCAAAATTTTTATGACAAAAATTTTACCGTAGGTATACCTTAGTTCTCAGGGTTTGATAGTAATATTTTCGATATTTTAATAGTAGAATAGAACCAGATATGCGTATAGCTAGCGTATACAATATAGCGTAGTATGATTCTTCAACCAATTTTTCGAGTCTATGACCGTACCTACCTACGCTTTTTCTTCTGCTACATAAACCTTGTAATTTGTGAAAAAACGTCTGACGAAGTAACTTCACTAGTTTTAAACCGTGCTAAGGTTATTATTTTGATCTATGTGAAAATATAATTACCTCTTTAGCTTTTCTACTCATGTGGTTTATTAGTTTATGTAGGTAAATATTGTTAATTTGATTTCCTTCAGACGTATGTGGCGAGCTCCGCGGATCTCGCGGCGCAATATCCCGCAGTAGTAGTGTGGAGGACGACGCGCCCGCTACTGACCTACACCAACTGCTACTGGCTGCGCACGCGCAGGGTATGTATTATATCTTCTTTTTCAATATAGTTCATAGTTAAATGTTTTTTTTATTTGTTGCTGGGACAAAAAAGTGAGTGCTACGATAGAAGTATTTCCATACACAATATTTATTTCAATTACAACTGTTTAAGGTCTATTCTTATTTAAATGCTTTAGTCTTTCAGTCTTCTGAACAAAATAAACTCAGCTATATATTTCCGTCTCTTGCGATGATGTTTTCTGATCCATTTCAGTGCGGGGTCCAAACTAGTAATTTTCGGAACTCTCATTTATTTATGGTACTCTCATGTTTTATGAGACGGAAATCATGGTATTCTTTATTGGGACAAGCCTGCGACAATATTCCAAAACCGCCGCAAAAAAAAAAAAATCCAATATCATGATCTACAGCAGATACAACCATGAAAACACCGGAATATTACAGTTCGGCGCGTCTCAAAGACGTGATTAGTAATCAGTGGGTCCCAGAAAAGCACCCTGATTAAGAGTATTCCAATCCATGTACGAGTCATTGAGCTGTATGTTTATCAGTGCACTTATTTGTGTTGTTATTGTGAGTATAATTGATTGCAATTTGCTTCTCTCCCCCCAGCGGCCCAGCTGACCCGCTGCCTGCAGCGCGCGCTGTCGGTGTCGGAGGCGGGCGCCGTGGCGGCGCGCGCGCGGCCCGGCCGGTGCGACTCCTGCCGGCACAGGGACCTACTGCCGCTACATACTGGTGAGGGATACATGGCCGTTTAACCATTTACATCTAGTGTATTATGTAATACTATGTGGCAACAACAGGACAGACGGCCGAATATTATCTAGCTTGGATGAATTATAACTAACGAGTTCATTTAACGTTAATCTTTAAGAAATTTGTTTGAATTTGAGCAATGAGTAAATATTCTATTACGAAAAAAGATTTTAGTTTCCTTTCCCAAACATTTTCTGACAACTACCTACTACTTAACACTACACAATTCTATTTAATACCCTTTAATTTCATCATAACTAGACAAACAAACTAAAGAACTTAATTTTACAATATAGCTAATCATCTGGTAATCAAAATAATGTCAAAGTAAAACTGTTTCAACAGAATCATTCGAAATGGTATCCGGACCAGAAGAATTAGACGTACCCACGGATGGCCCGGCAGCGACCCCTGCGGCGGGCCCCGCGCCGCCCGCCCTGGGTCCGTGCGACCCGGTGGACGCGGAGGTGCTGGAGAAGGAGATGTCGGACGCACTCGCAGAGTACGAGCTGCCGCCCGACTGTACTGGCTGCGAGGATAATGCGGAGGATGCACTCGGTAAGATTAGTTTAAATATTTTATTTATTTATATTTTTCGAACATTTTTTTATGATTTGCTATCTAACAGTTTTCGAAAGTATAATGGTACAGTTAAAATATTATTTTGTAAGCAAGTCATTTTTGTATCATTTTATAATCGGACTTGTTTAATTGTTACTGCGGTATAGTTACAAATATTAAGTTGAATTCACGGTAAAAGACACTATGTATCTATTATGTTTCACATAGGGGTAGACTGGAGGTTAACCTGAAAGGTAGGTCAGGATTCAGGACTTACTTAAATCTTGACCTACTGAATTTTAATACTTATGCATCACTATTTTTTTATTGGGAAATTGAAGAATTTCATCGTGTTAGCCACAAGATGTTCTGCTTCATATAGTCCTCCCATACTGACTTTGAGATCGTCTAGTTGGATGGTAACTGTCCAAAAAAATCTCACGCGTTTTTAAGTAACTTAATAACTTATTATCATCAATATTTTTATTGCAATGCTTGAAGGCAAGCGCATACTTAAATTTTCACTCAAAATTATATTATCTATTTTAATCAGCAGAATTGTTACGTTGGGTTGAGGATAATGACGTCGTTAATCTTTGCTTAAACTTTTTGGAAGACATTGAAAGTGACCTGTGTCTATCTGGTTTCCGTACTTCGCACGAACTCATAATGAATTGATCTGTCCCCGCAGAATGCAGTGGCGACGCCCCGCTGCTGGCGGCGCGCGTGCTGCGCGTGTCGTGCGGGCTGCAGACGACACTGTCGCGCGCGCTGGGCGGGCTGGCCCCCGCGCGGGCCGCCACGCTCGCGCGCCAGCACGTCGCCGCGCTGCGGGACGCCAACGACGCGCTGCGGGCGCGCGCCATGCGACCCGGTACTGCACTACTATACCGACACATCGCGACACTTACTGCCACTCTACAATGGAACACACACTTTTCACTAGTTGTATTATTAGTCCCATGTAGGGGATGAGCCTATTGCCATATACCAGAGAATTTAAAAAAAGCCAATAATATTTTACTTGACCCGGGAACCTGAGACCACTTGCCTAGCAGTCGCACTTGCAACCCCTCGGCCAATGAGAGAGTGAAGAGTACTTTATATATCTAGCCTGTAAAAGCCAATCCAATGCTAATTTATACTCTAGTAACTTCATGGTCTATCTTTTGGGCTCGCTGCCATTGCAGCGGTAAGTCCCCTCTTTGAGGAGTGGCTTGAGAGACGCTACGGCGTCCTCACCTACCGCCTGACGCAGGTCCTCACCGGACATGGAAGTTTCGGGAGGTACCTGTGTCTGATGGGGCGGGAGGAAACGCCCGGGTGTCATCACTGCGAGGACCGCCCTGAGGACACGGTGGAACACACCGTAGCGGAATGCCCTGCGTGGGCTGAGCACCGCCGTGCCCTCAGGGAAGTGATCGGCGATGGCGACCTCTCGCGTCCGGGCCTAGTGCAGGCCATGATGCGGAGCGAGGGGGACTGGGATGCCGTCTCCTCCTTTTGCGAAGCAGTCATGCTAGCTAAGGAGGAGGCGGGACGCGTGAGGCAGCGAAGCGCTGCCTCCTCGCGACCCAGCCATCGCGAAGGACACTCCGGGCGTCGGGGATCGCGGGACGATCTCCGGCCACCGTAAGCGCGGGCCTGCAGACGGCGAGCATGGGTGGCTCCCCGTCCGACCAGAAACAGACCCGAGCGTACGGCGCGTCGCGTTCCGCGCGCGCCTCAAAGAGCCATCAGACCACCACAGATGGGGCCCAATAGGGCCGATGCCGATTCGGAGTCGCGGAGAACCTAACGGGTAACCGGGGCTCCGGCTCGACGTGCAGGAGAAGGAACGGGGTGGTTTTTAGTCAGTAAGAGTCTGACACTCCCTTCCGCCTCACCCAGGCGGGAGCAGTCATTCGATGATTTTCCCCCCTTAAAAAAAAAAAAAAAAAAAAAAAATGGTCTATCTTTACATGAAAACTATATTTATCCAATATTAACTTGATCTACAACGTTGTCTTATGGTCAAAACATATTCATAATTTCATTAATCCAATTTCAATAATCGATAGTCAATATTACAACTTCAGTAACTGAATTAGACAAATATTGTTATCATTTCCACAATATACTTCACTATCAAAAAGACATACTTCATTAATTTTAATACCTAATATATTGTTTTTATCTTACAGACCACCATACGACAGAAGAGATCTCCATCCCCAAGGCGGGACTGGACCCCTCTATACAGGTGAGCATTACTTCAAAAATATAAGAACATTTATAAATATTTAGATATATTTTGAAATAAAAGTTACCATCTTGTCTTTTTTATCACAAAGCTCAACTAAATATAATTTGAAGTGAAAAATAGTGTTATTAGACAAAGGTGTGGATTGAAAGATGATGTAGTGACAAGGATTGAACAGGGAATGTTACGCTGGTTTGGACATGTAGAAAGGATGGATGAAAGAGCAACGAAAGATACATAAACACACAAAAATAAAGATATGCAAAGCGGATATGAATTGGGCCGTCGGTAGAGGGCGCCCTAGACGGACATATTCTGACCATATTAGCGACATATTTTTTTAACCGACGAGTATGCATGAGAACATTGATGACTGTTGATGAAGCGAATAATATACGTAAGATACATAGCAATTGGCGTTCCATAATTTCTGCCTACCCCCATGGGAGATAGACATGAAGTTATGTATGTATGTAATTTGAAGCCAAATCTTTAATTTAACTTTTACCCAATCAAACACAATGATGCCAAACTCATGTATTATTTTTACTATTAGACGATAAGTAACAAGATCTCCTTGTCTTCAGGACCAACCAAGTAATGGCGGGTGATCTACCAACCTGTAATAGTAAGCGAGAACCCGACGTACTGGCGTAGTGATATATCACTAATACTGGCTGGCCCACGACGGACAAACTAACACGCGACACGATTCATCAACTAATGCCTAGCAGTTTTCGACATCGTCGCTACATAACAAACAAACAAAACATATTTTTATATAACTGTCTCCGTGTGATAACCAGCACGACAACTTGTATATTTTGTAATAATAATATTATTATTGTATCGTTACGAGTGTAAGTACTGCATTATTTAGTATTATCAATTTATTATTCCATACGTACGAAGTTTATGTGATCGACTAGATAAATTCTTTATTGTTATTTTGTCTTGTCGTCTCGATGTTCGCAAAGATTAAGTTATATGTTAAATGTCTGTAAATAATATTAGTGGTTGTAGTATATAAGTGACAACTATATTGTATCATTTATTATATATGATTTTGTGTATACTTTTTTATGTTTTATTTTTTCGTCTTTTCCTCATTTCTTTCGTATATATTTGGTTTTTTATGAGTTTTTTAATTGTTTTGGTCGCTTCGTGACGTTTTTAAAAGACATTTTGTTGTTCTGAAGTTTTCCAATTGTAAATAGATACACATGAAATTTTGTTTTTTTGCAGTTTTGAAGTCTTTGTTCACAAGCATTAAAAATGTTCTTAATTATTTTGGAATCTCTATAATTCTATATTTTAATGAAATAGTAAATTATCTTAGTCTCGCTTGCATATATATTAAATTAAATAAATCTATACTAATTGAACTATATAATACTTACTACAATATTATACAATTATTGGAATTAAATGCACGTTTTTCAGTAAAAAATATATACAAAACTAGGATTCAGTTTTCATATATCAAATAGACACATAATTAAAAAAAAGATCAATACAATAATCAGTTTTCAGATTTAAACAGTATTTTCTAAATATTTAAACATTTAATTCTACAATCATTTTTACTTCTTCAAAACAGAATTTCAACTAAATTACTTCTTTCGTGGATAACTCTCTACAGTAAGGTTCAATGACCTATCTAGTTTAGGTAGGTACTGTATTTTATTTCATTTGGAAAAATTACTGCAGCTTTAGTATTTGAAGTTACCTCCTAGATCTACGTTATAACTGTATTAAAATACCGATTAAATTATCTAAACAATCCTTAGATACCTAATCCCTAAAAGGCCGGTAACGCACTTGTAACGCCTCTGCCAACGCTGATTGCTTACCATCAGGTGATCCGTCAGCTCGTTTACCGACTTATCACATAAAATAAAAAACGATACACCGTCATACTCGGAGTCATTTCATACGTACTTACTTCCAGCAATTGTTTTCAGATCAATTGTTTCAAAATCGTTACTAAGGATTCGTTTAAGTAATCATTAAATGTGTCTGAATGAATTATTTTCTTTTCTGCTTACTCGCATAACTGTTTGACGAGGAACTCGACTAGTTTCAAGCCATGCTAGAGGCTCATATTGATCAGCATTCAGTGACACGCGACGCGACGACTGTCGCGCTCCTCCTCATTAAACCTGCATTACTGTTGCTAATAATTAATTTAGTATGCCTCACGAAAGTTATAATATAATCATGTCTCTGAGTATTTACAGTTTACTTACAATATTAGGAATACATATTTTAACACAAGTTATATCGTCGCTACAATTCCAGTAACTTCAAATCCCAAAAGCCATACACATCCAGAATGAAATAGAATGTAATAATAATCAACTATATTGAAAAATAGGTCATTAAAGCTAATATTATCTTGTCTAAATAGTAGCAAACCAAGAGTTTAGTCCGAGTATATTTTACATTTAAAGTAATCGAATAAAGACCGCGTTCGATGTTCTGATTCGTTGGTTAATTGGCGCCGGCCAATCAGAGAGCCGAACCTGGTCTCGTTTCTATTACTTTAAACAAACAAACGTATACTAAGATCTCTATATATTCTCGTTGAAATCTACACTCGTCGTAATGAAGAGTATAAAAATTAATGCTTAGCATGAGATGAAAGTATTAAAATATGACAATATATACTGTTTAGATACAAAACAAGCAAAGAAAATTGCTTGCAAAATAACTTAAAATAAAATAAATCAATTGAATAATGGAAAATGTTGAATAAAATCGTGTAAATAATTATACTACCAACTTGTTGTTTTGACTCGTGTTTTTGAAATGTATGAATTTCGTACCTACTCCATATAAATAGTTCACGTATCTCTCGTTTTTCGTCCAATAGGGAATCAGCTAGTATTACAGCATTGGGCGTTTAGTATTTGACATCTTCAGTGATTCGACAAAAGAACCTTTTTCTATATTTTCGCCATATGGTGATGTACCAAAAGCAAAAACGATTGACCCATTGGGATGCTTTCTTAGTCAAAAACTTTTATTAATCAATACTTCAAACAACTATTTGTTTATTTTTAAATTAAATTAAAAAATATAAAAATATCAGAGTAGTAGCATAGTCTGGGAATGTGCCCGGTATATGGTAATAGGTTCACCCCCTATTACATGGGACTCATAACATAAATAGTGAAAAGTGGGTGTTCCATTGTACAGTGGCATTAAGTGCCGTAAGTGCACCTCTGCCTACACCTTCGGGGATAAAAAGGCGAGATGTTATGTTATGTTCAAAATACTTGAAATACACATCATTATATTATTGTATATGAACTTCATTTTCCTGTTTACCAGCCAATTTGTTCTGGAAAGAGTAAAGTTAGGCACTTGATGTCAAAATTATGAAGTCATAGTGTTTGATGACGTACATTAATAAATACGTAATGCGAGACTCAAGAAAGTGATCATAACGTCATAGTATATATTACAAAAAAAAAAAGTTTAAAAACATGATGTGACTTCTAGAAGAATCCTTTTTGAATATGGAACCCTGAACTTCTGAAACCGTTAGCTACCTTAAATATTGCCATATAAAATAAAAACCAAATATACTAGCCATATTCTCTGAATTAATCTAAAAAAATAAAATAAAATAATCAGTACCAATTTTGTAGTATTTTTAATAGCAAAACGTCAAATAATGAATTATATATGAGCTTATATACAATTTCGTCACGATTGACTATATTTTGAGAGAGCTGCATCTTATATTGTCGAGCAGTTTTGAAGTTGTAAGGTAAGCTTGCACTAGAATTGTCAAGTATACAGACATTGGCAGGTCAAGCTACTCCTTACTTATTATTGGATTTTCAACTCTATTTGCTTTTAGATAAAGTCAAAAGTTCAATAAATAAAACTGACAGTTTGGTGTAGATTGACCTCCTGCTGTTTGTATGTTATTATGTATAAAGAACTAATGTGCGCCTGCGTTTAACATATCTTTCCTAGTATTTTTTATACTAACGAAATCTATGTTTTGATTTTCAACATTTCTACTTTGACATAAGGTTGACATTGGGTTAAATGAAATAGTATGTGCCGCCGATTATAATTCTGTATTACTTGTAAACAGTACATTATTAAATAACTTGTCTAAATGTGAAAACTAGCTGACACGAATTATTTATAGCAATGAAACTGTCAGTTTTCCCGTGAAAATTTCCTTGTAAAATGGCAATGTGATATATAACCAATATACAATAATTATTTTGTCAGTATTTTTTATGTAATTAACTATAACGAGACATACTAAAGTAATTGAAATATACAGATTACTCACGCGAACTTTTCGAGGAAAGGCTCGACTGATTTCAAGTTACTACGGATCTCTTAATCATCAGCAGCGTGAGTCTGCGTTAACGTGGGTAAGCCGTTATATATCAATTAATTTTTAAGGTTTTAATTTAACTTTTTGTATAATTGTTGTTAAAAAAGAACATTCAGTTTCATCCAACACTCAGATTTTTTCAATGAAGAAGTAAAGTTATATATATATATTTGATACTGTAGACAACGCTTAGACCAAATGAATCCCATCCAATGTATTTGTATGTTATATTTGTGTCATAGAAACCTATGACACGACGTGTATATGTATATGACGTAACTGCTTAGGCCAATTGTATAATATGCTTCGATATACTATCCAGTTATATGTATATTTTATTGCAATAAACAATATGAAAAATATATCTGTAGTTTTATTTGAATATCTTTCAATATTCTTGTTAAAACTTACAAAATATTATGTTATAGGGGGATAAGTTTATTTACATATATAACTTCACGCCTGTCTCCGATGGGGGTATGCAGAGACTATGGAACGCCAATTGTTACTACCTCTTTCGCAGTTTCGCTTCATCAACAGTCATCCATCTTTTCATGCATGCTCGTCGGTTAAGGGTACTTTTAATTTGGCCCTTTTAAATCTGGTCAGTAGAATGGTATGGTATGTAAGAAGGAAAAGCAAAAACCAATTTTTAATAAAAAAAACATTTAATAAACTAATAGTAAATTAACATTTATTAATTTATGTGCATAGAGTACAAACTATTTCTATCCTTATCAAAAACACAATAAAGTTGTATTTGTAAGAAATGTTATAGTTTTTAAATACAATTTATGAGGAAAAATATTCTCTATTTGTATTTAACTAAAACTTAAAATCCAAAGTAGGTACCTACTTACATAGGTACTTCGTAGATACAGTCTTAACTTCTAAATAAATTACCACACATTGTCATATCTCCAATATTGTCCAATACTCCAATATTTGTCATCATCATGAATTTTCAGTTAATTCGTTCAATAATTTCCGTAATTAAAATATACGTTATCCGTACTGAAACATTACAAAAAAACAAGTTACTTTCACCACATTATGTTATGGGTTCCTTTTTTTTTGGGACAAGCCCGCCACAACCTCCCAAAACCGCTGCAACTCCTGTAAGCCAGGAACTACAGTAGATAAAACCATGAAAACACCTGAACGGTGAAACCCGGCGCGTCCCAGGGACATGAGTCTGTCTTGGTTCCCGCAACGAAGTGAATCAGAAGATATTATAAGAGGAGAAGAAGAAAAAACTATGGTTTCCACTTCCCTCGGTGAATTACTGCAGGAGACAGAATGAATTAAGTCTAAAGGCACAAATAAGAGACTGTACAACTGGATGAAGCCCAGTCGCCAAGCACCACAGTAGAATTGATTCGGTCTCTATACAAAACTGGTGCGATTTCTGTACAAATGTCTAAAATGCTAGGCTTACTGCAAAATCGTACTGATTTGTATGGCGGGCTTTAGGACCATGCGATTTCCTATACAAAATGTACTGAACATCCAGACTAAAAACTAAGTGGGTCCTATGTGTGAGCTGTTATACTTGCTTCCAATAGGTATGGTAAAAGCGCCAAAACGCACGGAAATTCGTTCTAGATTCCACAAGGTCCGTATAATAAGCTACACCTGACGAAACAATTAAATTATTTAACATAGTGTTACTTTCATATTGCCAGAGATCACACTCCCAGAGTATGTGATGGGCCGACTGCTCGTATTGCAACTCCTCTGTCGAACATTGGCACCATGGTGAATCAATAAGTTTAAATGAGAACAATTTGCTTTTAAAGTGGCCGTGGCCAGTAAGAAATTGGGCAACACAGTGATCCACCTCCAACCATGTTATGGATTTTGTCAAATGATGAAACAATAAATTAATAAAAAATGAGGAAAACTTACTAGTCTTCGAGAGTGAGGCATTTGTTGTCAAAATAAGCCATCCCAAAGGGACATCGGTGACCGCGCAAGAACGGCCCACTCGGTTGGAACACCGCGAAAGCTGCATAAGCCACTGTTATATAAAATAACACGAGATATATAGCAGTTGACCACATTTTGAACACTTTCTTTTTTCACTATAACACAACTTGTTAGAACAAAAGTCCAATGTGTTTTATGGTTAACAGGATAATGGAAGCAAGCTTGCTAACGTATTTAATAGTTAGTTTTAATTACACATTATTAGAATTCTATCCTTGTTGTAATGTTTTGTGGTCGATATAGAATAATAATAATTACATACAAATAAGTTAAAATAAGTTACTTGATTTAAAAATAAACATGACTTAAACATACCTTGTTGTTAATCCCCGAAAATAACTGGAAATGGTATTTGCTGGTTTACCATTAAGCCAGTAGGTCAATTCAGGAAACCGAACTGATTTTCATTATAGGTAGGTATGGTGTGTACAGATACTCATCGTTGCAAATATTAATAAAATAGTTTCATAGACTTTAGTGAGGATGTAGGTGTGTACATAGAATACTAAGAAACGAACAGACAGATCATCTCATGCCAATAAATCGGGCCCTCATGAACTCGAGCCAGGCGAGTTATAATTGCATTGCCAACCTTTTAGGGGTTAGAGATTTGAGGATAAGGAAGAGAACGGGGAGGACGGAACCTCCGGTCTAGTAAAAGATAAATAAGTATCTATTCTAACGCGGCAATTCGATTTCTGTTTGCACGCACGCAACTCTAGTGGCCACCTCAGTATTAATTCCTCTTCCCCGCCACTGGCCGCTCGACGCTTGCTTAGGAACGACAAACAACGAGTCCCGCTCCGGAGCCGTGACACACGAGCCCTGTATTTGTACCGCGAATATCTGAGTTTTATTATATTGTATTATTTTGCAACATTGTTTAGTTTAAAGTATTCTTATCCAATATATAAGTTTACAGACAACAAAACTGCGATGCGATGCGAATTTGCAACGCAAAAAATTACGATGCGAACTGCTGCGATGCGATTTTGTGCGACAAGGCATCTCTTAGAGTGACCATTCCTTTGACGACCGTCAACCGTACATACTAAACGTATTTTAAATTTAAGTTCTCAGTTTTGTGTACGAGCCCTTTATTCCACGCCCTTGAGAACCTAAAGCGACATTAAAGTTTATTAAAGTATTTTATTCGAAACTCAATTGACTACCATGATTCAAATTTGTTACCTTTACAAGTTGACTCCATGTATTTTCTTTTATCAATTAAACATTTATACGATATTTTAACTGTATAATTAATGTATGCACCTCAGCATATCCTTTTTCTTACAAGCCAGGCACAACCTCTCAAAACCGCTGCAACTAGTAAGCCAGGATCTACTATAGATACAACCATGAAATCACCGGAACACTGAAGTCCGGCGCGTCCCAGAGACATGAAGAACTGTCTAGGTTCCCGCAATGAAATAAATCAGAAGATATTTTAAGAGAAGAAAAAAACGAAAAACATCAGCATATCTCTTGCACTTTTCATAACATTACTTCAGTAATAACAGGGAGACCGGAATTATGCTCAATATATAGCCATAAGGTCATCCCTTATTACATGGGACTCATAACATAACTGTTGAAAAGTGGTTGTTACATAGTACCTTCTTATAAGTAAATTATGAGTGATTACTTGGGTACAACCTATGTGCGGAAAACGTAGGTACATAATTGCAATTTGAAGAGCTATAATAAAGGTTTTTGCTAATTTTTCATGTAAGGTATTATTTTTAATTAACATTTTGTTACATTTTACATACAAATATATTATATTACAGATATGGATAGGTAAACGCTGACGACAGATTTGTATGACCAATTTCTTCTCAGTCGATAATTTGTAAAATACTTTAGAGAGTTGTAGTATGAAATATTATGATGGTTAGCAGTGGCGCACACGGTGGGTAGAGAAGTGACAGCCATCTAAACATGTAAGAAAACGCTCGGTAGGCATCGCATCTGACGTTCACAACGAACGCTTAAAAATACAATTATATCAAGTATTGTACAAGGTATCGACTTAAAGACATAACTGACAAAAATGAGTGCGTGGCTTATACCCTATATATTATAAGCTTAATTTTAGCTTAATTGTTATATTTTCGGCTGCTTCACTAAACTGTTTGACAAGAAACTCGACTAGTAGTATGTGAAGTCACCGTTTCGTGTGCCGCGGAATGCTGCTCATGTATATGAGCCTCTTAGAAAGTAGTCGAGTCCCTCGTCAAATAATTACGTGAGTAATCCGAAAACATAATAATTAATTTAGTATGTCTCACGAAAGTTATAAACATGGTATTTTAGCTGTTGGAAAACTGCAATGACATACCTACCCTTCTTTTACCTCGAGCAACAAAAGGGATAATAAATAAAATAATTATACTATGTTGAAATAAAAGCAAATAAGGACTCATGAGTAATTTATTTAATATATTTCCTTACATTATTACTAACAATATAATTGACTATACAGGGTAACATAATAATATAATATAGTATTAAATATATTCGTGTTGTCCTTGTACATTGGATTGTTCATTCCCATGACGCAGTGTTCAAATAAATTGGCAACGTATCTTCAGTTATACAAAAAGTCAAACATATTGGCCTCCCTGAAACAATGAAAGAAAGGTTAAGTATAAAAGAAATAAGATGATTACGTATCTCATTCTGAAATTGAATTTGTGGTCTATCAGCCCATTGGTAAACTCTTATTGGGTGTAGCGTAATGTTTATTGCCTATTAAAAATAAAAATAATATTCAGATCGAAGCAGTAGATCCAGAGGTTGGCGCATTTAAATAAACAAAACAAACAAACTTTTCAAGTCTATAGGCGGCGTCGATGCCGTACCACCAGGTGATTCGTTTACTCGCTTGGCATCCTATCCTATAAAAAACTATCTGACGATAGAATACTGTTACCTTAACCCGAGCAGGGTGCTTACTCTTGAAACCATTCTCAATGTCAATACAATTTCAATCCAATAAAACCTCAATAATTATTCAATGTCAAAACTATACAACCCCTATCGTAGCTGTTAAAATAGCATTCAGAGTACGGAATATAAATGAAGCCGAACTCAATACCATTTAGTTCATTAAATATCGACGCAATGGGCGCTAGTGTTTCAACTCTAGAGTAAGAAATTTCGCAATACCAATGTCGACAGATCGGAATTGGATTCAAGAGTAAGCCTCCAGAAATTTAAAGATTAGGTTTATAACGATATTGGTGCAAAATTATGTAAAATAATAAATACAAAAATATATATAGGAGTACTACTTACCCTTCATAATCATAAAAAACACATCTCTTCAGTTGTTTACTGTAGAGAGTGCCGCGAGGGCAGGGTCCAAGAAAATGTTTTGACGGCATCACCAGAGCCAAGGCCCCAACCACCATTAGCGCGAAAACAAACAGTTTCACCAGCATCCTGACTGATCCCCGACGCAATCACGGAAACACTGGTCTTATTCTATTCTGCTGCTTATTTTATAGGATTATTATATTTTGAGTCATATAAGGACAAATAAATATTTATAGAGTTAAAGTTTAGTCACACATAACATAATATCACGCCTTTTATACCCGAAGGGTTAGGCAGAGGTGCACATTATGCCACTGTACAATGTAACACCCACCTTTCACTATTTATGTTATGAGTCCCATGTAATAGGGAGTGAGCCTATTGCCATATACCGGGCACAATTCCAGACTCCGTGCTACTACTGAGATTTTTTTAAAAACCCAGTAATACTTTGCCCGACCCGGGAATCGAACCCGAGACGCCTTGCCCGGCAGTCGCACTTGCGACCATTTGGCCAACGAGACAATTACACTATACTATTAGTGTACTATACACAGATTTACCTCTATAATGTCTAATTATAGAAAGTTTTGTCTATGGGCGACGCGTTACTGAGATCGCTCACCAACAGGTCATCTGCCTACTCATTTACTTCCTATCCAAAAACTTTATAAGTCAAGTCAGATTTAAAGATTTATAAAATATCCTTAACAACAGAAATACAGTTAAAACAAGATTTACGGAAGAAAGTGGTTTATTTCTTGTCTCCCCAGTTTTATCCATCTGTTCTCCTAGATTCTGATGGCACCTAACTTTTGGGCGGCTCTGAATTCTATCACTACTCAGTCCATTCAGCGCCTGTCCTTCTTAAATCTATTTTAGAGTTTGAAAACAATGTGATTTTGGATGCTTTTTGTACCTATAATGTGAAAGATCCTGAGTACCAAGTCAAAGATACAAAGGTCTCACTCAAGAAGTCCAAATATTAAGAATAGGTATATAGGAGCTGTGCCATTCTGTTGACCTAAATATCGCCAGGCTTCAAGAAAGAAGTCTGGTTATTTAGTCTTACTGTGCTTCTGGGCATTAAAAACCACTTGAAGCAATTACTCTCTCTTCCTAGTCCTGATAGATTGCCGTGCGGCTCATGGGAGTAGCCAGGGCATAAACAGTACCCCTTTTTGTAAATTAAACATTTCATGCGCAGTTGTCATAGTTAAGGCTCAAGTAAGGAAAAGCAGGTAGGTAGTAATAGAAAAAGAAAGAAGAATAATAGAAAGAATAACATTTATTCACACAGACACAACTTAACAACCCTTTAAGCATTTAGTAAAAGGAGATAGTGTCAGTTTAGCAATTTAATAGATAGTGTTTTAAGTAATCAGTGATCTTTAAGAGTAGGTATAGGTAAATAGGTGTAACATTATCAAGCGAGATAATTATAATCGAATCTACTGTTTTTATACTTGAACCAGATGACGCCAATGTAGCAAGAGGGATTTTTTGTCTAATGCAGCTGTCAAATTTTGAACGTCCAGTGTTAAAATAGCTAATTCCCCATTGGACGAAGAACCAGACGTGCCCACTAGTGTCATCTGTTGAGCAAAATACAGTAGCTCCCAATTCCTCATTGGTCTGGCTGTTCACGCGACAATACATGCGGGCTATAGTATGAAAGAAGTGACAATCAGAGGATGTTATTAAAGAGGCCCACGTCCAGTAACGAATGGAAACGCACTTACAAAACACTCGCAACACAATGTTTAAGAAATAAAGAAATCTTGAGCTCTTTACATTGCCAACATGGTTGTAAAACCAGAAACATAAATATAACGGATGTTAAAGAAGTATATGATACTATAATTTCTACATACTCCTAAGGAAAGAAAAGGGAGAATCCTTTCATTAAGACTTGACTTAAAGAATGTGTTTCGTTTTGTTTGTTTGTGTAAGGACTAGGACGATTTTCTCAATAGTAGAAACTGTTATATAAATCTAGATACAAAGGTTCTCCTCTAGACTAAAGCGAGTATGGTAAGGAGAAGCATAAAACTACTGGCAGCAATCCCGGTAGCACTGTCAGGAGCGTCGGTGGTCGTTGGGGCCTCAGTGGTTGGATCTGGTTCTGTTACCAGCGAGTCACCAGTAGTGAACTCATACATATGATCCATTACTGCCCTCCTTACTCTGACCAGCTCTTGACTGTCCAGGACTGATGGCCTGGAATATTGATAAAAGAATATTCGTTATCATAAAACTATAGCAATTTTTTAACGTTGCCCCACACTAGGATTTTCTCCTGTGTCGTGGGTGCGTTTACAAACATACAAGTTCACATACACATGACATCCAGACCCGGAACAACAATTTGTGGATCACACAAACTGTTGTTTCGTGCGGGAATCAAACCCACGACACAAGTTGGGTGTGGTGGTGTGATACAAGAATAAAACTGTAGGTAAAATCAGTTCTTTTGATGTAATTTTCATTTATGCAAAATCCGTAAACTAGACAACACTGTCTATGTCTAATTTACAGAGCTTTTGCTTCTGAAACCGTAGGATCCAGTTGTTATACAAGGATCGAAGATAGTCATCACGTTTAAGTTTAGATACTTAATCAATATTAAAATAGTATTACGTTTTCCGAGTCGCAAATTGCTCCGTGTGAAGTACTGACATTCAGCAGAATTAACTACAATACTTCACGTGAAAATACTAAGAAAAGCTCTACTAGTTTCGAACCACAGAGGGGCTCTTCCTCATGAGCAGCGTGCGCGGTCGCGTGCAATGCATTTTCACGTGAGTAACCCGCGATTTTTAGTTAATTTAGTATGTCTCACAATATAATGATAATAAAAACATTCGGCAGAATCTTGATTACTTGTTTATGTACTGTATCGAACTTTGTATACTTACGCAATAACTCTGCAGTGAGAGATGTTAGGTACCACGTAGACCGGAGCGTTGTGGTGGGAATGGGACTCGTTGGGTCCCATTGGAGACCAGGGATCGTGGGTCCCAGCAACAGACACCACGCGGTCTGGCATGTGAGACCAGCCCCCAAACAATATGTTCGTGCGTTCGATTCCTGCTCGAAGTCTTTGTTCATCGAAGCTGTTAACAGAATGCAACAAATACATAACTTACATCATGACATCACGCCTTTTATCCCTGAAGATGTAGGCAGAGGTGCACATTACGGCACTTAATGCCACTGTACAATGTAACACCGACTTTTCACTATTTATGTTATAAGTACCATGTAATAGGGGGTGAGCCTATTTGACAATAGGCTATACTATACCGGGCACAATTCCAAACTCCGTATTATCACTGAGGTTAAAAAAACCCAGTAATATTTTGCCCGCCCCGGGAATCGACCCAAGAGTAAGGTCATAGGTGCGACTGCACTTACGACCACTCGGCTGACGAGTCAGTCAAATATATAACTTTTTTCTGAGAAAATTAGGCTTATTACTTGTGGTCTACTCTGCCATTCCAGTACCACATTGTTTCACGGCTTCCAACTTCATTGATTTGCGTATATCTAATGCTGGTTTTATAGCGCTGACCGCACGCTGACCGTCGGCGCTGACAGCAGAGATAGGTATATGAAGTTCTAGTAACCGCGCGGGCAGATAGCTATGCGTCATTCAAAAACGCTTCCTAGTTGTTCATATATCTCGGCCATCAGCTCTAACTTCTTTATTGTTGCCGTGGGAATACAGGGAGTCCTTTAGTGCTATCCTACATACCCCAAAGAACATACATGGGAAGTTCCAGCTTCCTAGGTTCAGCAGTTTTGGGTATGTGTTGTCTGTCAATCAGTAATTTTATTAGCCTGATAATATAAACGTAATGATTAGATTTTTCCTCATTTACGCACTTCCTACATCATTTGCGTAATCGACGATAAAATAAAAATTTGTGGTAACAATGATCTCGTTGTTAAACCACAAACAAATGCGTCAAGCGTTCTATACATAACCACAACTATTATAACTTAAATAACTGCGTATTTAATCATGAAGTTAAACCTAACTGCCAGGTCTTGTGTAGGTACCTACTAAATAGTGCTTTGTACGACTCTGACACTCCTTCTCGCCTCACCATAGGTATGATGAACGCATAAAACGTACATAGAAGTGACGTCGCGCGACATTTCAAATCAATATATCGTTGAAAGTATTTGCTTAGTAAGAAAATAAACAATACGTTTCTAATGTTTTGACACAACATATCAGACGAACATTAAAATATAAAGTAGTCATCTACCCTACTATAAATGCGAAAGAAGAGAAACACGAGTGGTGCATTCGACAAAGACTATTATAAATAGACTAGCGCAGTTTTTCCATTCTTAGTCATTACGTCTGAGATTTGAAAAGAGATTGGGACCTCTGAGTTTCTTACTTTAAGTGCCATCTAAAAAAATACTGTAGCCCCAGTAGTAATATTACATTTATACGAAATATTTTTTTATAGAATCGGCGACGTGCTTCGATTCCTGAAACACCAGAGGCGCTAAAAGTGCGTTACCGGCCTTTTGGGAATTGGGAATTAGAGAATTGTGGGGGATTTAGGGATTGGAGAGACTGGGGAGGTGGAGTGCTTAATTAGGCCTCCGGTAACTTCACTCAAACAACATCACTCCGGTCGAGCCGGCCCATTCGTGACGAAGCATGGCTCGCCCACACTTAAAACTTGCAGTTGCTATATAGTATTTTTTTTCTTATCTTCTCAATACTTACTCTAATTCATTATTAGAGAAGATATCCTTGCACAGCTGGTGATAAAACTCCAATGGTAAAGTATCCATGAACGGGTGGTTGGAACCCGCGGTAGTCTGGTACCAGCCGTACTCCACACACGTCTGGTGCAACCAAAGACGAACTGGAACATAAATAAATTGTCAATAAATACAAAAAAAACTTAATTGAGCCTGCTCGACTGGTTTCAAATCAAAACTGGGGTTTATAATTATATGCAGATCATAAAGTTAAAAAATATGCATAATTTTAAAAATCGTGTATTTGTGTGTGACGTACTATTTCCGAGTAGTGTTTTACAAAACACAGAAAAAGAAACAATAAATTTTTTGGCTAATTTATTTACACTAATATTATAAAGCTGAAGAGTTTGTTTTATTGTTTGTTTGTTTGTTTGAACGCGCTAATCTCCGAAACTATTGGTCCGATTTGAAAAATTCTTACTGCGTTGGATAGCCCATTTATCGAGGAAGGGTATAGGTTATAAAATATCACGCTACGATTAATAGGTGCCGAGCAGAGCGAGTGAAACCGCGTGGAAGTAGCTACTGATAGATATGGCTAAGTTACCTTAAGATTAACGTTATTTCGTCAGTTAATAAGTTTTTCTGAGAGAAAAATTTCCTATGACGGTATGCAGTAGTAACTTTAACAGTTCCTGGCACCGTTCAAATCTCTGATGACTTCAAAGTTAAAACTTGTATTAGCTTGAATAACAAAAATTTAAGCTTACTAACTATACTTTTTTTTCCAGAAAAATGATACTTTAATAACTAGGAATGCTCTCAAGAGTTTACAGTAAAATACCAAAGAACTGAGAATTATTTTCCTAGCTCCGGCCGCCATGAATAGGATATTGTTGTAAGACGGTGGCGCCATCTGCATTGTAGATGCCATGCTAATTGTCGCGCACACAGATTATACGCCCGCCTCCATAGACACACTGTCGTACAGATTGAACAACTTGTTGGTAATTATTTATTGTTCTCAATATTTTGCTGCCTCGAGTCTGCTGGTGGTTACCGATCGAACGGTCGTAATTGCAACTGCCGTACAGGTTACGTGTTTGATTTTCGGGTCGGGGAATGTGTCATCACACCTATGATTTTTCTAAAATGTGTCAGTAATATCACGCAGTTACACACTGTGTTGGGTAGGTATAAACTGGTGGGAAGTGGGAGTTTAATCATCTACGTACAGGTGAACTTAAAATTATGCTTTCTTGACTAAACGAATGTATCGATATTGCAATCCGGATTCAGGCCCGGGCACAGTACTGTAACCGCTCTCCTTAAAGTGATTGGCGATGTGAAGGCAGGGATGGAGGACACCAGGATCACAGTATTGGTTTTGGTGGACTTTTCGAATGCCTTCAACGTGGTCAATCACGACATTTTGCTAGCTATCCTATCCCATCTTTCGGTCTCTGATGGTGCGCTGGATTGGTTTTCATCTTATCTTCAGGAACGTCAGCAATTGGTCCAGTTTGGTGAGGCTTCGTCGAACTGGTGCCATTTAGAAGCTGGGGTTCCTCAAGGCGGAATTCTCTCTCCTCTTCTATTCTCCATCTTCATAAACCTTATCACTTCCGAACTTCAGTGTGCGTACCATCTGTATGCCGACGACCTGCAATTGTACTGTCAAGTCAAGATTGAGGACTTACCTGATGCAGTTGCGAAGGTGAACGCGGACTTGACTGCCATATCTAACTGGTCTGGGAAATTTGGCATTAATGTCAACCCGAGCAAGTGTCAGGCGATAATAGTAGGTAGCTCCCGCACTTTGTGCAAGGTTAACAGTGCAACGGTACCGCCAGTCCGGTTTGACGGTGCGGTCATTCCATTTAGTGGTGATGTCAAAAATCTTGGGTTGCACATCGACGGCAACTTAACCTGGCGTGCTCATGTTACTAGTGTCTGTCAGCGAGTCACGGGGACGTTGCGAGCCCTGTATCGGTTAAAAAACTTCCTTCCGTCGTCGACCAAGGCGATGCTTGTTCAGTCCTTGGTTTTTCCCATAATTGATTACGCTGATGTGTGTTACTACGACCTGAATGCAGATCTCCTCAATAAACTTGACCGCCTTCTAAATAACTGCATTCGATTCGTTTTTAACCTGCGTAAATACGACCATGTCTCTGCATATCGGTTGCAACTAAAGTGGTTGCCCATACGTCAACGCAGGAAACAACGGGCGTTAACCACTTTATTCTCTCTTCTTAATTCCCCCACTTCTCCTAGCTATCTATCCTCCTATTTTCAGTTCATAAGTGCAAACCACAGCAAGTATCTTCGTTCCACTAATAATCTTCTTCTACAATGTCCCACACACCGTACCGACTTCCTTCACTCTTCATTCTTTGTCCAATCCATTCTGCTGTGGAATGCGCTGCCCACGGATGTCAGGACGGCAACCAGCCGGCTTAGTTTTAAAGTTAAGGTTCGTGAGCTATTGCAGAGGGAACAGACAGACGCATCACGTACTTAATTTATCATTTTGGCGATTGTATTTAATATATATGTATATAAATATATATTATATGTAGTTTTATTCCCAATTTATTTATTTACTTTTATAGTATTGTTATCTAGTAATATTGATAATGTATCTTATGTAATTTATATTATACCTATATATTATACGGATATATGTATGTATTTACAGTTATGTATAATCATGAATTTATTTATATAGATTTTTCTGTGTCACATAAACCATTATACCTATACGCCTACTGTTGCACATCTCTGCATCACCCCATGGTTGACTGTTAGAGAATGCCACCCGGCATTAAGTCCGCCATCGTATGTTTGCTATACAGAAGTGTTAATAAATAAATAAATAAATATTGATGGATTTTAATACCTACAGATGTCGTTTTTGCAGATATATGAAATTAAAAAAATATTATTTAAGGATGCAAGCAGTTTTTATTTTTTATTTTTTTTTTAAGGGGGGAAAATCATCGAATGACTTCTCCCTCCTGGGTGAGGCGGAAAGGAGTGTCAGACTCTTACTGACTAAAAACCACCCCGTTCCTTCTCCTGCACGTCGAGCCGGAGCCCCGGTTACCCGTTAGGTTCTCCGCGACTCCGAATCGGCATCGGCCCTATTGGTCCCCATCTGTGGTGGTCTGATGGCTCTTTGAGGCGCGCGCGGAACGCGACGCGCCGTACGCTCGGGTCTGTTTCTGGTCGGACGGGGAGCCACCCATGCTCGCCGTCCGCAGGCCCGCGCTTACGGTGGCCGGAGATCGTCCCGCGATCCCCGACGCCCGGTGTGTCCTTCGCGATGGCTGGGTTGCGAGGAGGCAGCGCTTCGCTGCCTCACGCGTCCCGCCTCCTCCTTAGCCAGCATGACTGCTTCGCAAAAGGAGGAGACGGCATCCCAGTCCCCCTCGCTCCGCATCATGGCCTGCACTAGGCCCGGACGCGAAGGATGCAAGCAGTACGGTTACTAGTTATCTATTATCAAATTACATCCACAAATAAGTACATAACGATCGAAGGAAAATAATTTCGAAATTAAGTTTTCTATAAATCTCGCTTAGATCGACAATATGTCCATCCGTGTGTCGCCGGCTAGTCGTGGGGATGTCGTGTCGTTGTCGTGTCGTCGCCGTTTGATTTGCAGATGTCTGCAGCCGTGTCGCTGCCTGTGCCTGCATTATTTAGCGACTCATAACCACTCTCGTTGAGATATTACTATAGGAGACAATGTTCACAGACGTAGGTAAAGACAAATTTAATGTACCTAGGTATGAAATATCTATATGTAGGTATAATAACCGGTACGAATCATGGCTAGATTTTTAACTATCAACATAAAATAATTCCTTTTCTTATTCTTACATTACCTTACTTGCAAGTAGAAAATAAATGATTAATATCCATACCAATTACCAACCCAAACACCCATAGACATCACTCGCAATGCATCAGCAGTCCAGGTACAAGTGGCGCTGCCGTTTTAGAGATTTGGAGATATGGGCACTTGAAGATTTGAGGATTTGGGGGATAAGGGCCGCAGACGACTTAATCGGTTACCAGGACACCGGCTCGAAGCAGGAAGGAGACACTTTTAGTCAGTAATAGTCTAACACTCTGTCTCGCCTCATTCTAAGGCGGGAGGAGCCATTGGATGATTTTCCCCCCTCAATAAGAAAAGAGGGTTAAGGATATTCGGGATGGATATGGCGGATTTTTTTTTATATGGGACAAGCCTGCCACAACCTCCCAAAACCGCTGCAACTCCTGTAAGCCAGGATCTACAGTAGATACAACCATGAAAACACCGGAACATTGAAGTCCGGCACGTCCCAGGGACATGAGTAACTGTCTTGGTTCCCGCAACGAAGTGAATCAGAAAATATTATAAGAGGAGAAGAAGAAAAAACTATAGTTTCCACTTCCCTCGGTGAATTACTGCAGGAGACAGAATGAATTAAGCCTAAAGGCACAAAGAAGAGACTGTACAACTGGATATGGCGGATGAGGGAATACTGAGCATAATAGAAGTAGCTTTGTACTTACTCGTGGAATCTGGTGACGCGAAGCTGGTGTTCCTGTACAGCGCGACCGCCTCTAAGTAGCGAGTCTCCACACAGTTGTCCCCTGCAACCAGGGCAGCCAGCCGTCTTACGGCATCCGCTGCAAATGAGATTAAAATTGTTATTTATTTATTTTATTACTTATTCTCAAGCGATGACTTCAAATAAAAGTAAAGAAACAACAGTTTTGAGTACAGTGACACGTGGAGGTAATAAAAATAGTGGCATTTTATAAAATTAAAAGACAATAAATGTGGGAGAGCCATGCTTCGGCACGAATGGGCCGGCTCAACCGGAGTGACCGGAGTGTTGTATTTCGTCGTGTGAGTGAGGTTACCGTACCGGAGGCCCAATTACACCTCGCCCCTTTCCCAATCCCTGAATCCCCAACAATCCTCCAATTCCTTATCCCAAGGGGCTGGTAACGCACTTGTAACGCCTCTGGTGTTCCAGGTGTCCATGGGCGACACCGATTGCTTACCATCAAATGATCCGCCTGCCCGTTTACCGGTTTATCCCATAAAAAGGTACTTACGCTCACTGCTTGAAACAAGAACGTTGCAGGAGTTTGCGATTCGATTCCCGATGGCGTACTGCACCATGTAAGCGAAATAATTGATGATACCGCTACTGAAGAATGTGGCGACATCTAGCGGAGAAGCCGTGTTAATTGGCGTACACGTCCTGGTTGGGAGAAATGGAGAAATAACTCATATTAGACTTTTGACACAATGCTCTGTAATAATTAGTTAGATTAGATATAGGAAATATTTTAATCTAAGCAAGAAACTGGTATTGGAAGGTCAACGCCAGTTTTAACATTAGACACGATTAAAACTAAATGATGGCAGTAACCAGTTACTGAAGCCAAGTAATTGCGGACAAATGTCCTGTGACACGTGTCGCCAGCGACGTTGGGTGGAGTAGCGCAATGTTTTATTTATTTATTTATTTATTATTGTGATGTTAACACGGCTTTACACCAATTACATTAACACACATACAAAGAGAAATCAAAGAGAATCGAACGGTTACAATAACAGAAAAAGAAGAAAAAAAAGAAAAAAAAAAAAATGAAACATAAGTAAGCGTCACATTAAAAAAAAAAAAACAAAAAATACAATTAAAATTCAATTAAGAAACATAAAGAAAAATTAGACAATTACAATAGTAAATGACAAAAAGGAAATATCACAGTAAAATGAAATCAAAACATTTAATTATACAATTCAACACAGACTTCAGAGACTTTCACAAAAACTGAGACAAACCTTTTTAATAGCTTTAAGCTCGTCCATGAATAGGTCGCAGTCAGGGTAGGCTTCCACGAGGCTATTGAGCGCGGACAGGATGCGAGGAATGGGGGACGATGCCCGGGCCACGGTACGACTTGCGGGCACGGATAGTAGACGGTGCCTCCGGGCGCGTATGTAGTTATTTGGGGCATACAATCGAATCAGCTCACTGTGGAGATCAGGAGCATCTAGGATCCCTCTGCATCTATGTCCCTCTGCAGAGAAGTTGATTGTATGCCCTTCTAGTATCCAACATATTAAATCCTAAACATCCTGCAAGGTACTTTGTTGGATACATGTATGGATAGTAACCCAGAGAAAATTTGTAGAGGAACCTCAAGAATTTCTTTTGAACTTTTTCAAGTAGGAGTGAATAAGATGCCTCGTATGGACTCCAAATGCAGGAGCTGGCCTCCAGTTTGCTCCTGACAAGAGTATTATATAAGAGTCTTATCACGTGTGCATTCTTGAAATCTTTTGAATTTCTTAAGACGAATCCAAGTCTTTTGAATGATTCCTTAGCAACCGTGGCGATATGATCGTGAAATGTCAACTTCTGATCGAAGACGACACCCAGGTCCCTCATACTTGATGATCTGGTTATAGGTGAACCATTTATTTTATAATCAAAGGTGATAGGGTGCCGTCCCCGACCAAAAGTCATGACGTAACACTTAGAAGGATTGAAATCCATTTTATTTGCAACTCCCCAATCATAAACCAGGTCTATGTCCCTCTGAACAGCCTCACAATCCGATATGCTGTTGACACAAGTGTAGAGTTTTAGGTCATCAGCATACAGAAGACATTTTGCGTGTTTGGGAACATCTGGGAGATCGTTGATCATGAGAAGGAATAGTAAGGGGCCAAGGATTGAGCCTTGACTTACCCCGGATCGAGTGTGGTAAGTGCTGGACTCGTAAATTCCTAATTTCACATACTGCTGACGGTCACGAAGGTAGTCAGCCAGTAAGCGTAATAGGTTAGGGCAAATACCTATGGCATAAAGTTTCGCGAGCAAGATATCATTGTTGACGCGGTCAAATGCCTTTCGAAAGTCGAAATATAGAACATCAACCTGATGACGTCTATCTAGCTGTGATGAAATATACTCCGTCAAAGTCAACAAGTTAGATTCAACGGATCTCCTACATCTAAAACCATGTTGTGCGTTGTTAAGATGTTTTTCGACTTGTTCATATATAAGTTTATGGAGAACATTTTCAAATACTTTAGCAGGTGACGATAAGACAGCAATAGGACGGAATTCCTCTACAGCTGTCCTGTTCGACGTTTTAGGTATAGGCGTCACGCGCGACACTTTCCATTGGAGGGGATAAAATCCAGTCTGAAGTGATAAATTAAATATGTGGGATAAAGGAGAAACGAACGAATTCTTGAGATGCTTGAGAATAGTGGGGCATACTATCCGGGCCTACGGAACTACTGACTTTAAGTTTATTTAACCCATCTAAAACATCCTTGGACGAGAACTGAAAGATGTTTATGTAATTGCTATTTTTGGTAGTGTCTGAATTACCAATGCTGGTGACATTTAACAGTGGTTTATCCGGCAAAAACACACTGGCAAAAAATTTGGCAAAAACCTCCGCGGCTGCAGTACCGCTGTAACTATCGCCACAGTAGCTCACCGACGGTTCAAACCCTCCCTTAGATCTCAAACTGGATATATGTCGCCAGAATTCACGCGGGTTTACTCTAATATTATTCTCTACACGTTTGATATGCGTTTGATATGCATTAGCAACGCGATATTTTAAGGTACTCCGAAGATCTGAGAAAGGCTTATAGTCTTCAAGGCATTTAGAGCGCTTCCAAGTAGCGTGCAATATGAGCTTACGTTTGACATCTTTAATTATGTCAGACGTAAACCATACAGGGTACCGCTTAGTTACCTTCCTTGAACGACTTTTCTTAGGCATGCAAGTATCAAAAGTATCGTAGATAATATGATAAAAGGCATTCACCGCATCAGCAACGCTAACGGCCCGCAAAACAGGATCCCAAGATGTCTCTGATAATAACAAGTACAGTTGCTCGTAGTTACATTTGTAAAAGTTCCAATCTCTGAAAGGGTTGATGTTGCTAGGATCCATAACATTCGAACAATGAACTGATTCAATTCTTACCTCAACTTCCAACGGAGGGTGATATGTATCTGGCTGAACAATACCATCAACGCCAGACACAAACACTTCGTGAAAACCTTCCCGGACTAATATGACATCCAACTTTCCACCATGAACATTTAAAATATCATTTTTGTCAACTAAAGAACAAAATGACAAGAAGTAGCAGTAGTAATTAGTGATATTATTAGATGCACTATTTAGATTAAGATCACCCATTATAACAACAAAGCCCTTAAAGTCATGTATGAAACCTTCGGTTTTGCAAAACCAACTCATGTAATCTTCATCATTAGCACTAGGTTTGATGTACACAACACACACTAAGAATGCAAGGCTATGCCACGTAAAGGACGCCCACAAATCTTCGCCGCTCTCGGTTTCGTACTCCGTCTCCTGCGAAGCACGAGAGGCGCTCGCGCCGCTAGTAGGACGCCTCCACAGGGCGCATTTCTGTCACGGCGCAGGATACACCAGTCACCAGTTTCAATCTCAGAATCCAAGACCGAGGAGTCCAGAAAAGTTTCAGTGATAGCAACAAGGTTTTGCTCCAACAGGGATAAGTGGTTGCGCCACGTTGACAGCTTCGTCTTCAGACCTCGCACATTTTGGTAGCAAACATGTATGTTTTTAAGACTTTTATTGTGTTTGTCCTGCGGACGTGCGAAAGGGCTCACGAAAGGACGGATTTTGTAGTTCGTTTATTTTGGGATTTGGGCTGTTCCTTTTGTAATTCATCCAAGGCTTCATTCTAGCATTCATTGGCCAGATTTCGGCAGAATAAATCCCGGCACAAAATTCAGCTGGAACACCGATTTTATAAGATTTATAATCCCCACGGGCCTTTAACTCTTCAACTGAACAGGTAGTGGTAGGATACAACTGAGAAAGGTATTGGCGAACTTCATCAACATCGGAAGCCATGTTCCAGAGGTGAAAGTATTTGCGTACTTCTATAGCCTTTAGTTTGATCGATAGAGGATCAGCAGTACCCTGTAACGGTTTTTCGCGCTGCCTAGATTTGCGCTTTTTAACTTCAACCCATTCTCCGTCACCCTCAGCATTATAGTTCTGACTAGGTTCGGCAACGACCGCGTGATTCAGTGTTTGACTTGCTGGTGTTGCGAGGGTAGTTTTTGTTTTTGGGTAGCTTGTTGGTAATGCTGAGAGTTGTCCACCTTTTGTTTAGGTACCTGTATGGCTGTTGTTGGTTTAATTGTTACATCTGGGCTACACGATGAAAAATTTAGTCTACGCTCATTTCGCGATGTGTCGGTTTGGATATTAATTTTCTCATGCTTTTCAAGCTTTTCATTCAGTTGTTTTACTTGAATAGCATATGCTTCTAACTTATCTTCATGGCTGCTGATTAAGGTCAATGCTTTTGTGAGCAATTCTTTAAGAATGAACATCTCTGACCGCAGATCATGTACTTCCGATATGAATGCAATGTTACCATCAACATCAAGATAGTTGACATAGTTGCTCGTAAAGGTAGTCGACTTATTCTTACGCATTGTCACATTAGGGTCTTGTTTTGTGCCCACGGGAGTAAACGAATTGTCTCCCCCTTTTTTTATAGCGCAACGACATTCTGGACAGGTCCATGTATCGATATCAATATTTACTAGGCTCCTCACGCCTGTGCACATGGGATGGTAAAATTTGCCACAATTCTCACGTGAGCAACGCAGAACTCCCTCGTCATCATCAATAATACTATAGCATGCAGAGCAATTCATAATTATGGCGTAAGCAGATTTGCAAGCAAGAAAGAATATTAAGTGTGTTTATCAGTATGCAATATTTAACAACAAGCCATGTTGCCGGACTTTGGTCGACATGTTTGGATCAACGTCGCCGTGGACATAGGGCGCGCGTTGTCACCTTATAGTAAATGTCGGGCGAAATCGGCAGGCTTCACTTGACATGTCACTGATACATATGTGTAGATTGTGTACTAGTGTATCCTTCCCTTGATAATCACAACTATTTTTATTTCACGTCTTTCATCAGATCACACTTCAGTCGAAAGGTTTCATTAATTGACATTGTTGGAACTTGAGAAGACTATAAAATTACTAACTGGAATATCTCGGAGACCTGGGCTGCCCCCGCGGGTGTGGCCAGCAGCTCTAAGACTCCCTGGACTCCTGCAGCAACAGCATCCACGCACTGCTGACCTCCCTGTTCAGCTAGAGCTTTCGCCACCACTTCCAGGTATTCTAGAAGAGTGAAAAGTAGTTAATAGTAGCATTTTAATAGTGTCTTTTTTTCAGCCATGATCGTCCCACAGGGCAAAGGCCTCCCTACCCTCCTTCCACTCCTCTCTATGTAAAGTTTTTTGCGGTCAATCCTCGATTCCTTCATAGATGTCTAATTCGTCCCTCCATCTCCTCTTCTCTTCTCCTCCACAGTATCTTAGTATAACTCAAAATACAGCTTAGCATCTTTAAGATTCTTGACGTCATAACCGTGATCCATGATGTCAATTTACTGCGCAGTTTTATTTGTCCAATCGATCTGTACAGTTAAAACTGTCCAAAATACGTTTAGGTACTCTACACACCCCACGATTGTAAGCAAGAAATTATCTCATAAAAAATTATATTTCAGAGGGCCAATTACGTTTATCCACGCATAACCCCAATCAATGAAAGGTCAAATAAAAACCATAATAAAGTTTCCCAATCAATGGATCAACCCCAAGGTCCCATACCTAGAGACCTCTATTGAGACAAAAAACTCCCATGAGGATTTAAGGAATAAACAAGCTCATTTCTTAAAGATTAAGGTCCATTTTGCTTTAAACAGTGAGATTGTTGTGTCGATAAAGTGTAGCTAGTCTGTTACCTCCCCTGAGATAAGGGGGACGAAGTAAATTAGTCGCTAATCGGTTGGACGAGTACACTCGATTAGGGAAACTCGTCCCGAAGGTGTTTTGGGGTCTCACTGAAAATGTAACTATTTTTTACAGGTACAAACAAATTTTCGGAAACCATTCTATAAAATGAATGGAGTAAAAATTGTTAAGCAACTTCTTATCAAACGTTTTGTGTGATATTTAAATTAGGTATTGAAAGCTGTTATGCGTGTGAGCCAGAGTCCTACTAGAACACAAATATGCGATCGTCATAATTTATACATTTTTACTTATTTATGACAGAAAATGATTTAACCCGTATGTTCCATTTTTATAGAGTTGTATTTTTTTAAGGGGAGAAAATCATCGAATGACTGCTCCCGCCTGGGTGAGGCGGGAGGGAGTGTCAGACTCTTCAATACATAGTATAAAACAAAGTCGCTTTCGCTGTATGTCCGTATGTATGCTTAGATCTTTAAAACTACGCAACGGATTTTGATGCGGTTTTTTTTAATAGATAGAGTGATTCTTAAGGAAGGTTTGTATGTATATACATATTGCACCCGTGCGAAGCCGGGGCGGGTCGCTAGTACTGACTAAAAACCACCCCGTTCCTTCTCCTGCACGTCGAGCCGGAGCCCCGGTTACCCGTTAGGTTCTGGCATTAAATCTTTAACTACCGACAAAAAACTGTTGAAGGTAAATTCTCCGCTAAGCGCTGGTCACCAAAGACGACGTAGCTGATAACATGTTAAGACGTCAGTGCAATAGACGAATGAACGAATTGTTAATGCGGAGTTTCAGCATTGTTAATGTGGACCATTTTATTAGTAGTTTTAAAAATCGAGGCCTTACCTGGGAATTCTTCCTGAGCCTGTAAGGGTGCACTGTCGGAGAAGGCAGCGTTGACCAGGTGAGGGTAAGCCATCCTCATCCAAGTAGCCATGGTACCAGCGTACGAGCAGCCCACCAGAGCCACACTCGCGTTCCTGAACACCATTAGACATATTTTAGGACATTATTTAAGAATTTAAAGCGTTAGTAAAGAAGTAGTGATGGGGTAGTCACATTTATTTAGAGTTTAGTTGGAGTCACATAACTGTACAAATAGTTAGGAATAAGTAAAGCCATGGTGTTTTGTTTGTCAGTATAATAATTAAAACTAGCTCCTGCCAGTGGCTTCGTCCGCGTTCCCAGGGGTGAAAACTACCCAGATTCATGCCCAGGATATTAAAGTATAATCATACTAAGTTTAATCGTAATCGGACTAGTAGTTTTTTGCATGATGCGATACAGACAGACAGACAGATAGATAGACAGACGGATTTTTTTAAATCTTATTTTTGGGTTCGGTATCTATCTAGTAACACCCCCTACTACTTTTTTATATTTTCAATGTACAGAATTTACAGTTTTATTATATGTATAGATATGTAGGTAGGTACACATTCAAAGAGCCATCAGACCACCATAAATGGAGCCCAGTAGGGCTGATGAGCGATACGGAGCCGGGAAAGGGCTAACCGGTTACCGGGGCTCCGGCTCGAAGAGCAGGAGTAGGAATGGGGTGGTTTTTAGTTAGTATGAGTCTGACACTATTTTTCGCCTAACCCAAGACGGGAGAAGTTATTGGATGATTTTCCCCCCTCAAAATAAAAGGTACACATACTTATATAAATAATCATACAAGTGTGTCATAAACTAATTTAGCATATAGAAACCTCATTGACATTATTGTAGTGACGATATATTTGCAGTAGTTAGCTACTCATAACAATAATTATTATAATATTGTTTACGTTATATGTATAATTGTAATTACATAGGTCGTATTTATAACTGTGAGGAAAATTTAAATAACGAGACCAATTCTGTTATAAGTGTTAATTTGTTGATGGCTACTGCAAATATAAAGTCACGGATATTATTTTTTTATGATGTAGGCGGCAAACAGCATGTAGATCACCTGATGGTAAGCAATCGGCGTCACCCATAGAAATCCGGGCGGACCATACAAATAAGTGCATTGCCAGTCTTTTGGACGTTAGGGATTTGGGGATTGGGGAGATTAGGGAGTTAAAGATTTGGGCCTCCAGTAACTCATACACGGATTATGATGAAAATCACGATTCACAGACATGAGAATTTAACTACTTCATTAATTATTTTTGTACGTTATCAGCACTAGGTCCATTGAAGCCGTGGTACTTGAAAGAAACGGAATACATTTATTTACAAGACATTTGTTTGCGTCAGATCTGTAACCTTATGTTTTGTCGACGCCGACGACAAAACCATAGCTTGCATTTAAATGAGCCAACGCCATCTATCGAGCTATGGGACACCTAACAATAAATTAATTTTAATAGTTGTATGACGTTCGTCGAGTGTATCTTTACAAAGATTATTTCTGCATTGAAATATAATGCATTTGGGTAAGTGCCTGTCAGAATAATCATAGCAACTCTACATTACGCGTAATGCTATTAAGTTTCAATTCATATAAAATATAAGCACTTTAAACGACTTTATCATTAATTTTAGCTATTTAAACACTATAACAACGTCATCAAGGCACAAAATATTAGTTAAATACAAAACAATAATACAGAATACATGATAAAGTCTGAAAAAATAGACTAAATAGGTATTGTTAGTTAAATTTTAATTCAATTTGCGTCATTCGATCGTCATTCTGTTGCATCAAATCAATGAGTCTGCGTATAGTATTCCGTTAATTGATAAATTCTATAATGGAAGTAATTCATGGAATTATGAAGTTATCATTTGTTTCATACAAACTGGACTTTGAGTTTTCATTCATCAAAGTGCCAGTAGGTAAATATCTACCTACGTTTTGTGGTGTTTCTGCTAACCGGTCGTAATCTTGTTTATTAATTTACGTTCTTAAAGTAAATAGGTACCTACTTAGCTGTAAGATGATTTCCGAAGAAATCCTTAAAATATTCTGAGTCCGTCTTAGCGTTAAATATAGTCGTTTAGTTTTTTACTTTGATCTGATGATTCTATCATCATCAGGGGCGATTACGCGGTGAGATAAATAGAAATGAATTTAATACACGTGAATTTATGGGATAAGCCAATAAACGAGTAGACGGATCACTTGATGGTAAGCAATCGGCGTCGCCCATGGACACCCGGAACATCAGAACACCAAAGAATTTGAGGATTGTTGGATTCAGGGATTGGGGCGATTGGGGAGGGGGGTAATTGGGTCTCCGGTAACCTCATTTACTCGACGAAACACAACGCAAGCGTTGTTTCACGTCGGTTTACTGCTCGGCCGTGGTATCACACCGGTTGAGCCGGCCCATTCGTGCCGAAGCATGGCTCTCCCACATTTTTTGGTAAATATACCACTTTTTCTGGTCTACAAGAAGTTTGAAAGCACTGTTAGCAGAGAACTTGAAACGAATTGTTATAAACAATTGAACGTCATTTGTCCGAGTCTGCTGAATTTCAAGTAGATGGAAACAAGAGGACTACCAAAGAAGAAAAATAATGACAGATTGAGGAGTTTTCTGATAGGTCTACTATCCCTTACCTGTGTCGCGGAGAACCTAACGGGTTACCGGGGCTCCGGCTCGAAGCGCATGAGAAAGAACGGGATGGTTTTTAGTCAGTAAGATTCTGACACTCCCTTCCGCCTTAACCAGGCGGGAGCAGAAATTCTATGATTTACTACCCTTTTAAAAAATCCCTTACCTGTAATGTCCATCTTCAAACGCATCACTCTTGACATGCTGTATGAACTGTGCCAGGTCTCCCAGCGCCTGGTCGATGTTCAAGAACGAGAGGTTCTCCACGCTCGAGTCTCTGGAAGTATGATAATCAGAGTTTTAGTCAGCATTATATACTCTTACATTAAGGGTCATGGTGGCCCGGACATTTAAAACGCCTGCTTCTCATGCATGTCGAGGGTGCGGGGTCGAAACTTACCAACAGCAAGTTATATGTACTTTCTAAGATTATTTAGACACTACTGACAAACGGTGAAGGAAAATATCGTGAGGAAACCTAGACTTATAATTTCTAATTATTAGTTTGAAATCGCCAACCTGCATTGAGCAAGCGTTACGATTATTGCTCAAATCTTCTCCGTGTAAATAGACTTCGGTCAGCAGTGGCCACTTATAGGCTGTTGATGATATACTCGTATAGTTATGGTATCTAATTGAGGATTACATACAATATAATATTATATTAACAGGACATATTATTCCTTTTATTGTCCGAAAGTATTGGACGCGATCCTTATCCAAATTTTTTGATTCGGATCGAATTTTGATGTTAGTTCTATTAGATTTCTGTTAAAAATTCATTGATTTAAGGATTTTGGGCTAGGATCAGATATTAATTTGGTAATATCCACATTTCTCCATATGTGTTTTACTTCATGAATCCCTCTAGTCTGTGCCTTGGACTTAAGTACGATCTATTATTGTGTATTTAATGAACTTCATTCTTTGAATAAAACTTTTGTTTCGACGCAATATAAAATGAAGACTATAAATAGTTTGTAAACCTATGTTTGCTAGAGTAGTGCAGTGGGTAATGAAAATCTAAACTTCAGAACTCAGTCCTATTTACTATAACCTAAGTTCTATATTTTCTTATCAAATATCATCTGTGTATAATTCAATAAAGCAGGTGTTGGATTATAACACTAAATGGGTACAATGCCCTGCTTCCTGCAGCTGCTCACAAATTGCGAGGTTGGTACGATGACACATTCATTCGGAGAGTCCCTTTGATTTCAGAACAAAGAAACAATTGAAGATTTTTATCTGTTCCTTTGACCTTTGGTCGTTTCCTTATTAGATTTGGTTTGTGAATCTTTTATCGTCATGGTGGCAGCAGTTTTTCTGAAGACATTTATGACCACTTTTGGTCGTCCTGCGGGTGTGGTTTTGCATTTAACAGGAACTGGGGAGCAGTTTTTGATAAACCTACACCGATTGCAAAAAATATTATAAATGTAATGAATTTTTCTATGAGAAAAGCCGGTTAACGAACAGACGGATTCCCTAATTGTAAGCAATCGGCGCCACCCATGGACACCTGGAACACCAGAGGTATTACAAGTGGATTCAGAGGATTCGGGAATTGGGGAGACTGGAGAGGGGGAGTAATTGGGCCTCCGGTAACCTCACTCACACGAAGAAACACAACGCAAGCGTTGCTTCACGTCGGTTTTCTGTGAGGCTCCGGTCGAGCCGACCCATTCGTAGATATCGAGAGATATCGGTCGGTTTTAAGTGTGGCTCTCCCACACTTAAAGCCGTACAACTGATGATCTTCTAAGTAACGCAGGAGCTGGCAGTTAATAATGGACTCCATTATTTTCGAGAAGAGGGAAGTTATGGCTATCGGTCAGTAGTTGAACGGATTAGATCGATCACCTTTTTTAGGGATCGGATAGACTAAAGCTGTCTTCCATGTCGTCGGAACTACGCCTGAAGAGTAAGAGAGCCGAAAAAGACGTGTTAGAACTTGGCCAACTCAGGAGCACACATCTTCAAAACAATGGGTGGGATCCCATCAGGCCCGCTCGACTTATGAACGTCAAGGGACAAGAGCGCCAAACGTACCGTGCGCTGGTGGAACCGTATATCCGGCATATAGCTTCCGCACCACGGTACAACAGGCGGCTCGCGCCCACCGTCATCCAGTGATGAATTAGATGCAATTTTTGTATCTAGAGGAGGTCCATAGTCTAGCAGTCTACTTGATGATTTCAGGCACTCTACTGCCTTGTCGAGTGTTAAGTTTGTACAGGCGACCAAGCCTAGGAAAGATTGTAGAATTTGATCTTCATAGCAGTTAGAATAAGTAATTTTAAGATGAAAATGTGTGTGAAAAAATATCTTATAAGGTACTTCATAACATTATAGGTACAGTTTTATCCTACAAGAATTTATTCAGCGTTTCCTACATGTACCATTTTAGTCAAAAATTCAGCGTAACTTTTGCAATTTTCTGTTAAATTCGACGTTAGCGTGAGCTGTGTTGCCAATTTTAGCCGCAACGGCTATAAAATAGACTGTGGTCCAGTAAATAGCCGTTGTATTTACAATTATTTAGTATTTTCAGCAATTTTCAGCGTAATTAGTCCTGTGACGTAGTGTATTCGCGCAGTGATTAATTTTTACTCAGAATACAGTTTGAATAATGTTACTAAAGTTAATATTAGTTTCATTTTGCGGTTTATAGAAGTTTTTGTGGAACTATTTTCGAAGTTTTCAGGGACAAATGTAATTAAATTGAAATTGTTGTTTGGGACTTTGGTCACGTAACTTTTTGTTCCTAATTTAGGTATTGGTTGAGTCTAGAAACTTGGCTAGGACTAGTGCCAATCAAAAGGTCGCGGATTCAATATTTGTGTCGAATAAAGTATTTATTGGTTATTGAAGTTTTCCATTTGAACACGATGCATTTTTGATAGACTAGTAATTATTTTATTGTAAGGTTTTGGGTACCATTTCTACAAAATACATATTAATCTTATACTATTATATAAAGCGGAAGAGTTTGTTTTTGTTTGAACGCGCTAATCTCCGTAACTACAAGTCTGATTTGAATAATTCTTTTTGTGTTGGATAGCGCATTTATCGAGGATGGCTATAGGCTATAAAACATCACACTACGACCAATAGGAGCTGCGCAGAGCGTGTGAAATCGCGCGGTAGTAGCTAGTATTTAAAATATACTTAGTATAAAACTTCCCTGACTGGCAGCTTATATGATAGAAAAATAAAAAAGTTTAATTCAGCACATTTCGGAACATTTCGTTTTATTTTTGCATGGTATTATAGAAATTGTGGAAAATATGGAAATTGGCTTCAATTTGCTTGAAACGCAGTTACGACATGAGTCTCCAACATACAAATACGAATATGTATGAGACCGAGGATCGTCATTGTAACATCATGTTTTTCCAAATTTTTTCAATAATAAACTTTCATAGCTGTATTTTTTTCCAATTTTAATCTCAATGTGAAGAACCTCAGGTCCACCAGCCTGATTTTAATTCATTCAATGATTCTTCTGTACTACAATCTCGCTTTTTTAATACCGGTAGGTAGAAGCTAACACTTTAGACAACATAACTTATATTAGTTCTAAGTGTCATGTAATAGAGGGCCTAATAAGCCTATTGTCCTCATCATCATCAACAGCCTGTAAGTAGCCACTGCTGACCAAAAGTCTCTTCTCACACGGAAAAGGTTTGAGCATTAATCACCACGCTTGCTCATTGCGTGAGCAAGCGTGGTTTCAAACTTATATTAGAAATTATAAACCCAGGTTTCCTCACGATGTTTTCCTTCGTCGTTTGTCAGGGTCAAATAATCTTAAAAAGTTCATTGAACTCGGAAAAAGTTACATTAGTACTTGCCGTTGGTAGGTTTCGAACTCGCACACTTATGAATGAGAAGCAGGCGTCTTAACCTCTGGGCACTACGAAACTAGATTTTTGCCATAAATTGGGCATAGTTTCAGACCTCCGCTATTACTAATACACATCTTCGAAAAGCCTATAAATTCCCAATAACTTTTGACCCAACCCGAATATCGAACCCGGCATCCCTTGCTAGGTCGCACTAACAACGACTAGACAAACGATGCAGTAAAAAAACACAAATAACAATAAAATCTACATCTAATCTTACCTATACTATTATATAAAGCGGAAGAGTTTGTTTTTTTGTTTGTTTGTTTGAACGCGCTAATCTCCGTAACTACAAGTCTGATTTGAATAATTCTTTTTGTGTTGGATAGCGCATTTATCCAAGATGGATATAAGCTATAAAACATCACGCTACGACCAATAGGAGCTGAGCAGAGCGTGTGAAACCGCGCGGAAGTAGCAGTAGTTACATTATAATCAACGCCTCGCACTTAAACATTAAATAATCTTCGAAATACTATCCAGTGACGTCACATGCCAGCTCATGCGTGACCCCAGGGCAGTGGGGCAATGGCCAATTGACCTCAAGACATTTGTCAGGCACCCCGACACTGCTGGATTTACTATAAGTAATGTGCTCAATTGAATTCATTGCTCGTGTGAACTGGATTTGGGGTAGGTAGACATTAAGATTTCGGTTATTTAGTTACTTCCTGCTTAGGTGCTAAAAATAACGTAACATCACGTCTTTTATCCCCGAAGGGGTAGGCAGAGGTGCACATTACGGCACTTAATGCCACAGTACAATGTAACACCCACTTTTCACTATTTATGTTATGAGTCCCATGTAACTAATAGGGGGTGAGCCTATTGCCATATACCTGGCACATTTCCAGACTCCGTGCTACTACTGAGATTTTTTTTAAAACCTACATACGTTGTCCGACCCGGTAATCGAACCGTTGCCCGGCAGTCGCACTTGCGACCGTTCGGCCAACAAGGCAGTCAACGAAGAGTGCTAAAGATAGTCTGCCGATATGATAAGAAAGATAAAAGATCGTCTGCCGATATTATTCTTCACTCAATTATGTCTCATACGTCAAGGTTAATACGCAATGTTTTGTTACTTATTTCCGTGTTTTCTTTGTTTATACTAGACTAGCCACAGAACATATAAATCTTCTTTAAACCAGATGGCTTCGTTTTATGTAACATTTCGTTTGATGATTAAAAGATGAAGAAACATTTTTTTGTATTATATTTTATAAACCTCACGGAGCCTTTCCAACGAATGCAATACCGTGGAAATCGGTTCGTGCGTTCTGGAGTTATAGCGTCAGGAAGGAAAACCCGACTTATTTTTATATAATAGATAACAGCACGTTTGTATTTCTTAGAAAATCTTTTC